ATTAGCTGGTGGACATATTTTGGCATCAAATTAAAGCAAAAGTCATTAGCTTTCATTTGAGACCATTTTTATGGTTCTATCATTAAAAATACGTATGTTATAACCTAGACTGTGTTCTATTGTAAAACATCAAAACAATTATGGTCACCTCAAAGACTATCAGTAAGGCTCTGATAATCCAGCAAATAAAAAAGCAAAAATGGTCAGAAATCGTCGGACTGCTGCGGCATGTAAATACCATAGGTTGGGCAAAACAGGATTGTCACTATCTAGAAATGAACAAGAGAGGATTCTGGCGCACACCGTTGTTTGACCTTTATTTGTTCTTTTAAAGTTGGATCTTTTCCGTTCTTCTCGCCTCTTTTTTTTGCTCTTACTACCGATGAAGGGAAGGTGTGAACGTTTCAAGTACTGTAGTACTGAACAAAGTATTGATAGTATTGTACTGAAGTACTTCACCAATCGAATTCCTTAAATTTATGCAACAAGCTCTCTGATTGGCAGAGCCAAGTCTAGATCGATTGTGGGTGGAGCCAGGTGAAAAAATACTGTGCAGACATCGGCATTTTACGAACACTCGACTGTCGCGAGAGGTTAATTGGAAGAGTCCAAGTCACAGGTGGCTTCAGATCAGACCTAATTGGGTTGTCCCATTTGTTTCGTTCTACACCCAATGATACCTTGCTTTTCCATCGATGGTACAACGAGAAAACGAAAGTTACTCAGTACTAAACTAATTTACGTACAAAATATATATCAACAGGTTAGATCACTGGGACCGGAGGAATATAGTCATATAGTCATTCTGTACTAGTTTTATTTATTTATTTTTTTGAAAGGGGGGGGGGGGGGGAAGGGTTGGCTCAAAATATTTCGGTTTAAGCCCAAGCTCTATTATATGTAACAAAGAATTACGAATTACCTGGGACCTCCTGATATATGCCGATAATTCATACTGCATTAAAAAATAAAGGAATTCTGTGGTCCTATATATTTTTTATTTTATTTTTTATCTTTCCATCGAAAATTATACATATCCGCAACATGTGAAAAAACTTTGAAGTTGGTTGGGCGGAATATCTAGAGCATTTACTACTGCAAGTTCCAGAAATTCTGACACAAGTCGGGTATTTGCCCGAAGCCTCTGTCTCATGACATTGAATACATATTCAGTTACGTTGTATTCCGGGGAATGAGGCGGCTGAAAAACCAGGGACACGCCATATTCTTTCAGCATATTTCTTAAAATGCGCTCTCCCTGTCTATGGTGATGGAATCCACAATTATCCATCACAACCACATCGCCTTGTACAAAAACAGGAGTTCGTATCGGACATAATTTCGTCGAAGAAAATTTTGCGTACTGTTGCCGTCACATTTTTCCAGCGATTACTTAGTAATTGTTATGTAACTGGTAGTGTACATTAACTCCGCCTACCGGAACAAATTGGGTGTCAGATCAACTATTCAGGTTGTCTTTCACAGAGGTCGTTGTTACTTGACTCGATTATTTGAATACTTCAATACAATAGTATCAATACTTTGTTCAATACTATAGTAAGTGTGTCGTTCACACCTTCCCTTCATCGGTAGTAATGATATAAAAATTTGAACATTCCTTTGCGATAATAATCTTTAACTGCGAAATCCAAGATTGGCACCTGTCGGCATTTTTGTTTTTCTGATTAGTTCCAAAATCAAAAAGGCACAACTAGGTATCAAGGGAGTCTACAAACGAAATTTGAGAGAGATCCATTCTGTACTTCTCAGAAAATAGCGAAAACGAACTTGCAAAGTCAAAATCCAAAATAGCACCTGTCGGCCATTTTATTCTAATCAGTCCCAAAAATAGATGGACAGAGGTAGAGACCATGGGTAACCTACATATGAAATTTGAAAAAAGATCCATGTTGGGCTTCTCAAGAAATGGCGATAAAAAGAGGCCCATGGGCCTTAACGGCCACCGGAGGTCTTCAGAACCTGTCCATCAGACCCAGCTTTGGGGCAGACAGACCAGAACTGATATAAGCATACTTACTTATATTTGACCCCTGCGACTTTGAACGAAGGTCAAGGTCATTCCTTTGAACAAACATGATAGCTCTTAATCCCAGCATGCTACTGGCCCAATATCATGACTGTGTCATTTTGTTATTGAGAAGTAGTTTCAAAATGTTTAATAGATTTGACTCGTGACCTTGAAAATAGGTCAAGGTCATTCATTTGAACAAACTTGATAGCCCTTCATCCTAGCATGCTACCGGCCCAATATCATGACACTGGACTATTTTGTTATTGAGAAGAAGTTGTTTTAATGATTTTTGATACATCTGGACCCTTTGATCTTGAAAATAAACCAAGGTCATTCATTTGAGCAAGCTTGATAGCCCTTCATCCAAGAAAGCTACTGGCCCAATATCATGACCCTGGACCATTTTGTTATTAAGAAGAAGTCGATTAACAATTGTTAATACATTTGACCGCTGTAACTTTGAAAATAAGTCATGGTCAGTCATTTGAACAAACTTGGTAGCCTTTCATCCCAGCATGTTACTGGCCTAATTCCATGACCCTGAGCCTTTTGGTTATTGAGAAGAAGCTGAAAATGTAAATTGTTTACAACAAACAGCAGACAACCTTGGACAAAAGATGATCGCAATAGGCAACAGTTATCTGACTGTAAAGTCCTATATATGAAAGAGGCAAAATAGGCCTAGAATAAATTGCTCACTTACCCTATAGCTTACATAGAAGACATTGTTGGTTCATCAAGACATTTTCTGCAAATTTGAAATCATATTGTTTATACATACACCACATAATTGCCATTACTCCGGACATATTACTTGGTGAAAAAGCAAGCCACATGCCCAATATCAAGACTTTTGACCTTTTAGTTATTGAAAAGAAGTCTTTTAAACATTTTAACACATTGGATACCTGTGACCTTGAAAGTGGGTTAATGTCATTCGTATATAAAGTTGGTAGCCCTTCATTCTAGCATGCTATAGGCTTAATACCACCATCCTTGGACTTTTGGTTTATGAAGTAATTTAAATATTTTAGCATATTTGATCCCTGTGAACTTTCAAGCAGATCAAGGTCATTCCTATTCACTAGAGGTCAAATCAACTTTCAGAATTTAAGAAATGATTCTGCACTGCAAGTGGTGTTTTAGTATAAATTTGCTAGAAATTCATTCAAGCATTCATAAAGAGTAGCTTTTTTGAAGCAAAATCTTGGTTAGCTTCCCATTTTGGGGCTCTGGCCCCAAGTCCCAATGGGTCGAATCAACTTTCTGAACATCAGAAATGATTATCTAATCTCAATGATGTTTCAGACCAAATTTGGTTGAATCAATTCAAACATTAAAAAGGAGTATTTTGAAGCAAAATATTGACTAATTTTCCCGTTTTTGGGGGCTCACCCACAAGTCCTCAGGGGTCAAATCAAATTTTTGAATTTATGAAATAATTGCCTACCCTAACAGAAGAATAAGGCCTAAGCTTGTTGAAATCCAGGCAGGCAGGAAAGAGGAGCTGGGTTTTAAATCTAATTTCAGCACCTCCCCCTGTGTGGCCCCATCCCTTGACCCCTAGATGTGAAATCAAAACTATGAATTTAAGAAATGATAATCCTCACCCTATGATGTAGCAAACCAAATTTGGTAAAAATTCATCCAGGTATGAGAGTGGAGAAGGGTTTCAAAGAAAGTTTACACACGATGCTCGACGACAAACCAAACACACCGGCTATAGGTTATCTCGACCCTTAAGGTCAGATGACCTGAAACTCTTTCACAGACAGACGACTGACCACAAACTTCTGGCGATCTGAATTGCCAATCATCTGATAATGATCATAAAGTTCATCAAATGGCTAAGTGGAATGCTGTCTCTGTAATTCTGTTGCATGAAAATACTTCAGGTAACTGATGTAGAAGAGTTTGTCAAGTTATTCATTTCCGATTCTGGTGGGTGTAAATGAAGAACATAGTCAATAAATCACTTATTTAAATGGATGACATCATCAGCTTTAAAGTCAAATTTGCAGACTTGAAAAAAAGATCTTTGTGACCTGTTTTGACAAGTTCTTAAAAATTATAAATTTAAAACAACAGGCTCAATGGGACAAAAATCACCTGTTCGGCAGCTTACAAATAAAACTTTTTGACAGGTTGTTGAGTCCATTTCTGCCAGAAGTACTGCAATTATGGCATTAATATTTGAAAAAAAAGTGATAGCCTTCATCCCAGCATGCTCAGGCCGAATGTCAGTACCTTGGGCCTATCGATTATTGAAAGTTGTTGGCAGATCTCAACAAATTTGACCCCAGTGACTTTGAAAGTGGGTCACAGACATCTATCCCAGCAGGGTACAAGCCAAATATCAGTACCTTGGGCCAATTGGTCATGGAGAAATTGCTTGAAAATCGAAACATATTCAATCCTTTGACCTTGGAATTGGGTCATGATTAGAACAGACTTTGCAGTACTACATTTCAGCATGCTCAGGCTCAAGATCATGAGAAATCATTTGAAGTAGCCCTTAATCTCTACATGCAGTAAGTCCAATATCAGTACTTCGGGCTTCTTTTTCTACCGTTCATCCCTGTAAACTTAAGGCCAAATATCAGCATCCTTGGTCATTGAAAAATCATTACCAACACATTTGACCTCTGTAGCTTTGAAAATAGTTAGTCATTCATTTAAACCAAATTGGATGGTCTTAATCCATCCATGCTAAAGGCCAAAGATTTATATTCTGGCCTCTTAGTCATAGAGAAGGTATCATTCAGATTTAAACACCTTTGAATCTTGTGACCTTGAATTTGGTCCATTTATTTTAACAATGGTAGTCCATCACCTCAGCATGTCACAGGAAGTTTTTTTTTAAGATTTTTAAAGAAAATGTAAATGCCCACCTAACAGGCACCACAGTATGGCATGAGCCCACTTGCCCTTCAGGCAGGTGAGCTGAAAACAAACAAAATATCACAAATTGTATATTAGTTAATCATTTATTTTTGATCAATAAAAATGATTGGTGATCAGATGATAAAGTATGATTGTATAATGATCAGTAGTGTTTCACATTTTACACATAATTTAAGAAAATTCTTCAAAATTACCAAAAACATCTGAAAACAGTCACCAATTTTTTTCTTCTTGGAACCTTTATTCAACAACGCCAATTAACTTCACACTACTTAATTCTAGTTTACACACTGACTTTGGATATTTACATCCAAATTTGATGTTCTGGTTCATAGAAACACATGATGTATCTTCTAAAAACACTAGTCTGAATGTTTACAAATATGCTACGTTTCACTCTTGAATAATCTAATATAATCTACACACACATTCACACCACTTACAATTCACAATGTTTTAACATGTATCTGAGTTAATGCTCCGCATTACTAAACACATTGTTAGCGGGACCGACAATGTAGACTTTGGGGCTACAAGGGAACACAGAGCAGCAGATGCTTGTTTATTTGTATTCCTCCTTCTCTCCTGCCATAATGTAGTCCAGTGGATCAACACACTTATTTTCATCACATAAATGCCTGGTCAAAATTGTTCATCATTGATTTCTGAACTTCCTTTTTCCATGTCACTCAAATTTTCCTAATATATCGCTGTCTCTGAATAAAAAGTAATCCTGAAACAGCAATTAACAAAAAATTATATCAAGCTAGGGTTAAGAACACATTTCTTAGTCAAGAAGAATGATACCATTTTCTATAGAGAGGATGGGTCGGACATCTAGTCTTCCCGTAGATCTCCAAGATCACCAAGGTGACCATCATTTTTACAATTCAAATACCATAACAAAATTTTTTCCCCATTTTTTTTCTTAAACAGTTTTTCAGAACTAACGGAAAACTATGAAAAAATGCATTTATGTTTTAAGGTTTTGTAACTAAGAACGCCTACCTTGTCTTCCAGCACAACCTTGGTACCACCATATTCTGGCAACAAAACTCTATCACCAGACTTCACACTAGTGGGGATGACCTTTCCATCCTGTGTATAAGAAATCAAGATGTACAAATTGAATCACTGTTATCAGTTTTTTCATCCAACGTTCCTGGATCAGCAAGTCAGCCTCGTGTACCCAGGACGGACAGAAATATACTGAAAACATGGTACTGACCCAATATGATAAACCTATCAATGCGATTGGTTTCCCAATTTTAGGAACTAGCATCAAAACTTTAACTTAAAGATGAGAAGTAATAACTAATCAACATTTCAACAAATGTTTCTTAAAACTGTATTTTAGTTCAGACTTGTGGTGTGCTTATGAAAGAAAATAAAATGATACCCAGTGGCCTCTTATGTCTTCATTCCACATTAGGACTAATTGATGGAGCTAGTGGAACCAACCACAAATACCCTGCTTCATCCATAGCAACTTCTATTCTCATTTTTTTCTGATCGTGTCAAAATATCCCTAGTACCAGACCCTTTTACCACTTTTAACTTTTTGCCAGCCAGACCTCCAGACGCCTTTTTACACTAGCTTGTCCCTGTTACCAAGTCATACTACCAACACTGTGGCAGACAGTCCAATTCCCACTTTGTCTTGACCGAACTACCACAATAGTCAGTGACTCCTTAAACCTTGATTTATGACTTCTGTCATCATGGTGGTTCCTATGACCTGTTACCACGTTTTCTGCTACCACAATGGTTTCCAGAATGTCTACTGCCACCAGTGGTTTTACAACCTTCATTTACCATGCCCCTGATGTGAGTGTGGTCTTATTGTCTGAAAACACTCTCACCTACCTGATCCCAGTTGCCAGGCCCCTTTGGCACTAGTATGACATTTTATACATTAACTTACCTTGTCCCTATTGCCAGGCCCCACTGCCACCACGGTGGCCTCCAACACTTTTCCTGCTGATTTATCAGGGATCATGATTCCCCCTTTTGTTTTCAACTCTGCAGCAAATTTTTCAACCAAGACCCGGTCGAACATGGGCAAAAATTTCTTGACTGCTGATGCCTGTAAATAAGAAAGTGTCCTACACATTACTTATGTAACGGAAGACTTTATTTATATGAATGATTCTGCTATTCCGCAACATCTAGATTATTAGTCTTATGTTCAACTGATCCAGCTAAAGAGAAGTTCTCTCTAGCTGAGCAGTATATTTTTTTTCAAGGTTAAATACATGAAATTATTTGTCCACAAGTTTGAAGGGGTTACAGTGAAGCTTGTGAAAGTAATACCAGATATCATTCCGGAGTCCTTGTGACACAGTGGTAATCATTCAAATACCGACATCTGGCTTATACTAAACTTAAGACTCTCGATCGAACTAAAGGGAAGTTCTCCTTAGCTAAACCGTACATTGCGGTAACCCTAGTAAATGCTAGACGCAATATTCCTCTTGGCTACAGAGAACATATCTTAAGGTGATCGGTTGAGTGAATGACTAGCATGCCAGAGGTTCACAGTTCGAATCCTAGCAGATCTAGAGGCATTTGAATAAATAAAAGCACAAGTATATTCCATCTACTTGCCATCTTAGCATTACTACTTCTACTACAGTACACACATTAACAAATACGACTATAAATTCCAATAACGCAAAATCTTAGCTATAACATATCAGTGCTATTGTTACAATTTTTGCAATCATACATATCTACTTTCAAGCACGCTTAAATGATATTACGCAAAATAACACATTGAATAATGACCGCTCCCCATATAGTGTATACCCTCCCACGTGTGACATTGAACCGGCAGGGACAGTAAGCAGTTCAATGCAACAAGAAATGTTGCACCCGCATTTAACTTGGAAAATGCTGAAAGACGTTGATGCTATCTAACATCCTTCAGTAAAATAAATCATACCATATTAAAGGTGATCTTCACGCTCACGACGACGTTTACCGTTCACTGTGTAGAAGCCTCTAGAAATTTAGCACATGGCATAAACAGGTAAATGCGCATGCGTACAAAGAAAGTGCCAGCAGGAAATAAATTAGGCCCTGAAATGAATACTAAAAACGATTGTTTGAAAACTCTGACGACAACTCTCTATTAACTCTACCATGCTATCTTTATTTCAATGTAGATATATAACATTTTCGAAGCAACACCACGCATTGTTTATATTCGTTTCTGTGGTGCCTTCATTATAAAAATACTTCTACATGCACTGTTTTGGGGCTGCAGTCGACCTTTGTTCCGAAAGACATTCGAGGACGACCGAACGAAAATCAGATCACAATACGGAACCGTCAGAGAAGATACGCCGGTACCTTACAAACTGGTAAGATAGATTTTAAGCCGAAGTTGTCATTTTGATATCTTAGGAAACAGCGAACGTCTTTTTCACAATTTTGATTATCTGCTTGACGTCTGCTTTGCATGCAGAACAACATAATATTATGCATGCAATCAGAAATAAGACAGGGCCATGAAGCAGCTAGGTTTCCACGTGGTGTCTGCCCACGTGCTTGATGTCACTGAGAATTAATGCCATTCGGTGTTTTAATGCGTCATATTTTATATGCAGGTTGATTATGGGCTCTACTATGGCAACATATAATGTTGCATAATTATTATATATGGTGCATTGTATAATGCACCCCATAATTATATAACCAAACTTCAATGTCATACGGTGGGGAGAATTAATTATTTCAATGTCAGTTGGTGATGAAACCGGTTTCACAAATTTCATCATATCATGCTTGCAACAGACCTCTTAACTGATTAAATTTCTAGTAGTCAAAGAAAAGTATACTGTTTTATCAAAGAAAAGTATGCTGTTTTATCAATTGCTTTGTTTTGCAACTTGATTAAAAATACATATTATAAAACCATGGATAAACCTGTGTTAAAATTTCAGCAAGTACAGATATTTAAACTAACTTTCTTTCATTTTTGGTTTTTTTTTGTCGGTATGAATGTATGCAATCAGTCGGCCATAATTAGACATAATTGAAGAATGTTTTTTGTCAACATAAAAAAACGCAACAACAAATTGCTGACATGGTTTTCACTTCTAAAGAACCGTAATTAGTTGTAAGAGAAATTAGACACTGCTTTTTCGATGTGAAATAAATGGATTTCTATATCATATACCAAAGTACTGTCAGATTTCTCGCACGTGAATATCACAATCATGTACCCAGGGTAGCAGTTTTTGACAATTCAGAATGATTATTGTTGTACAATAAAAACAAATATTGGTCTGTTTTCAAATGAATACAGTGATTTATATGTGGGAAATATATGTAATATTCTTGTGTTCACCTGAAAATGGATCAATGATAGGATAGTATGAGTACTATTAAAAATATAGCTTAAACTGAATATGATATTCATACATGTATGCACTTTGGAAATCCTTAGTTTTAATTACACATCCACTTTCTGTTTTTGTCATTAGATTCCAGCAATGTACCGTCTACCAAGCATGTTGCGGCCTGTTTTGGCCCGTCAGGTGATCCCTTCCCTGACAAGGTCGTATGCTAAAGATCTCAAATTTGGAGCTGATGCCCGAGCTCTCATGCTGCAAGGTGTAGACACTCTTGTTGATGCTGTTGCTGTTACCATGGGTCCAAAGGTAAAAATCAAAATTGGGAGTGAATTTGGCAATTTACTGTTTTTCAGCCTACTAGTTTTCATTCAAATGATTGGATTACATGTTAGTTGTTGGTCAGTATCAGCAAATGGAGCTAATTAGTATAGTAATTAGTAGGTTTAAAATCATGCCATTATGAAAAAGAAATATGGTATCAATCTAACCTCATTGTGGTCATATTTTATTCATACAATCTGCATGTATGTTATATATTTTGATCCAATTTCTGTTTGAAATTCTGACCAAAAGACTGAATTTTCTGCTTTGCTTAAAATAGGACAAAAATTCCCCTTTTATCACATATTTGATATTAACCAAAACTACTCCCTTCCCCATTTTTCTTTTCTATTTATATATTCAAGATTAACCATTTTTTTTGAAGTTTAAAGATATTAACTTACATATCCTTTCATCAATGATTATTACAGTGTTATTTTGAAGTTGAAATTGTAATGAACTGGCTTTTGTTTTCCATGGCATTAGGTCAGTTATTTGGCTTGAGAGATCAAGGTATAAATGATTGGTCATTATGAAGTGTCCTAAAATAGTACTGGGACTGGTGCCTCTTTGTAAAAGTCATGATGAATGACCGAATTCATGGGGTCAAACATATTTTCAAAAAAGGTGAACCTGATAAGTCAAATGACTTTTCCCCGTGGCATTTCTTGTGATTTTAAACCGATTCTGTTCTTATTTTTTTCAAGGGAAGAAACGTCATAATCGAACAAAGTTGGGGAAGTCCAAAGATAACAAAGGATGGCGTAACAGTAGCCAAAGCAATTGACTTGAATGACAAATATCAGAACATTGGTGCTAAACTGGTGCAGGACGTAGCCAACAACACTAATGAGGAGGCTGGTGATGGGACAACCACTGCCTCCGTACTCGCCAGGGCCATTGCAAAGGAGGGCTTTGACAAGATCAGCAAGGGAGCTAACCCTGTTGAAATTAGAAGAGGTTGTTATCTTTGGATTTCATCTACCTAACTAATGTCTGATTGCCTTTACATGTATAAAATTATGTATATAGTAGATATAGAATTAATAAGTCCCAATGAAAGAAAACAGATGAATACAAGACAATGGTAATTGTGTATAAATTCATGTTTACCTTCTTTGGATTCTTCAATTGTTTAGTAACATGATAAATGAGTGAGTCGGTGTAGATTGTAAATAGTGTTAAGTATTGTCTCAGTGACTCAGCTGAGGAAGCATGCTATGTTAGAAGAGTCGGTCAATTATCAAGCTGGAGACTACATTCAATTCCTGGTTGGGGCAACCGACAGGAATGTGTTTTTCCTATTGTTTCACAATAGTAATGTGTCTGTCGAAATACTTTCAATAAAGCAAAACATTTTCTTCAACTTACAAAATAATCTTATATTATCTGAAGATTGAAACAGATAATAACATTGTGAAAAAATATATATGATGAATGAATATCAAATGTTCTACATTGTGTGATTTTTTGAGACACCAGTGAGCAACAGTTTTAAAGGGAGATTTACTGGTAAATATATTTTTATTTTGTTTGGGAGAAAATATTCATACACAGTTTTTAATTAAAGTTCTATCTTTGATGGTTTATTGTTAACTTGGTGTTTATCTGGTAGGTGTCATGGCTGCTGTTGAAGCTATTGTCACACAGCTGAAATCCATGTCCAAGCCTGTCACAACACCAGAGGAGATTGCACAGGTAAGCACAAATTTGATTCTACTGCCTTTACCTCACACTGAGACCAACTCTTTTTTTATGTTAAGTTGTGATGTTATTTAGCATTACATATTCCTAAAGTAACATTAAGAGCATAATGCTTGATCAGATTGATGGCAAACGTAATGACGCAGCCAAATTATTAAATTTGATATTCTTGTTTGCTTTTTCCTACGAAAATAATGAAATTCTGGTATCTTTTTGACAGGTAGCCACAATTTCTGCCAATGGTGACAGTACTGTTGGAAACCTGATATCAAATGCCATGAAGAAAGTGGGAAGAGACGGAGTCATAACTGTGAAGGTAGGTTTCAATAGGCAATCAAAATTACCTCAAAAGTAAACTCGGAGACAGACACCAACTCCATCCCTTGTGTTTTGCTTTAATGGACTCTTTTAGGTTCACCAGCTTCAAATACAATATACATTATTTTCAGACATGTGAGTGTTCATGCTGTTGAGTTACTAGCATTTTATGATATAAGAAATATATGTTCCAAAGTTTCTAACAGTAATTTTAAGGTTATTTGGATATTAACAGGGGAAACCATCACAAAAAGGTTTTTTTCACCCTTGCAAAGAAATGTTGCTTGTCAATACATACCCAAACACATTTAATTGTAATAACAATTTTTTTTCCAAAAGTGCAAAATCAGATGGGAAGTTTCACCATACACACATTTTTGGTATCCTAAATGATGTGATTGTATTTAAGGATGGTAAAACCATGCATGATGAGCTGGAGACCATTGAGGGAATGAAATTTGATAGAGGATACATTTCGCCTTACTTCATCAATTCCACCAAAGGTGAGGAATTGTACAATATCATCTCTGTACAAATTTTATCAAAGGGAATTTGTATATTTTCACTCGTTACATGTACTAGGTCTACTCAGGGATGGTGTTTTTGACACTCTGATTGTACACTGCTGCTTTATAAACATCCAGACACTTGTGGCAAAGGAAATTCTTTTCTGTATATTCCTTCTTTAAAGTGATGGGTGCCTGCTTCACAAAAAGGTTTTGTTAAAGTAGGACATGTTTTTAAAGATAATCGGTATTAATTAACAACATCTATATTAACTTTCAATACTGACATTAAACATCTGTAAAATTAGTATCCTTACACCTTAAATGAAAATGTTATCTCCCCTTGAATTATTAATTGCATTATGTATTAAAGAAGATGAAGTAAACACTTGTTGCTATGTTTGAAACTGTTAAGGAAACACAATATTCCCTTGTTTACTTAATCTGACATTCAAATAAAAATTTCATTTTTTTTGTACCTAGATTTATATTTACACCAATCATAACAATACATATAGAATGTATAAACTATGTTATTAAATCATTAGAATATTTTACTACACAAGTGCACTTGATCTACTGTGGGGTGATGTATCTGACACCCCACATTGTACACTGGTGCTATAGAAACACTTGTTCACTTTCCCATTGTGTACGCAAAGTGTCGCCATGGGCATTCGAGCATGTGACAACTATGCCATCTTATCTGTTCTTATAACATATGTCAGTAGAATTTTTTGAAGGATTATAATTTGAATTTGAAGTGTACTTGCATAGCACATTGAACTAAACACCATGACTTTGTTATTGTCCCAGAATATTAACGTTAAAACCTTGTTTTGACAGGTGCTAAGTGCGAATACCAGGACTGCTTAGTGTTGTTCAGTGAGAAAAAAATATCTTCCTTACAAGGAATCATTCCAGCCCTAGAGCTAGCCAACCAGGCCCGAAAACCCCTTCTTATAATTGCAGAAGACATTGATGGAGAGGCCCTAAGTACCCTTGTTCTCAACAGGTGGGATGATGCTTCAGGTCTTTACAGATCAGTTGTGATGAATTAGCAGTTTATTTTTATGAGTGTTTTCGAACATTTTTGCTTAAATGGATGGGTCCCACAATGAAAAATTTTAGTATTTCCCAGAAATTCTACACGTTCTATCAAAACTCTATGAGTACAGGGCTCGGGGCTCGCCTTTAGATTGATTACTGGATCAGAAATCAAGAAACATCAAGTCTCGGTTGTATCGATTCTTGTTCTACTGTTCCGTCAATCAGAATTCAAATGTATGTCTTGTTTGATTTAGTATCGGTATCATTTTACCAAGATTGTTAGTATTGTGGAGTTGTTTTGAATTGGGGCTTTTCGTTTCATACCATTGGGCTGGTAAAATAAATGACAGTTTTCATGATTAAGAAATGAATTGAATAATATCAAAAGGGTTCCATTGAGCCAGTATACAGTAATTTAGTAATCTAAGAGATCTTTGATAAACTTTGCATCTTACTCATTCCCCAGTTTGTCTTTCTGTGACATCTTGGGATTAAATGGTGCATATAGAAATTGTCACAGGATATTCTGGACTTGATACTTCAAGTCTGGTCCTCCGGTAGACTTACATGCCAAATAGATTAAAGTGTTATGTTGAGCTAGCATTTTTTGAGCATCCATTGTTCCATAAAAAAGTATGGTCTAACAGTTTTGGTTTTTCCAGTTTCTCAGTTCTATCTTATGACTTGTTTTTATACTTTGCTGCTTGTTACCTCTGAATAGAAATAGAGATGGTGATGATAACCACACTACTGCAAAGATCAATACACATATTTTACAAGGGGTTTTGTTTGACACATATTTTGAGAAAAGAAGAAAGCTTGAGTTGAGAAAAAATATTAGAGAAGACTGGAGTCTGTTTCATCACTTCTTTAAAAAATGCATGTATTTTGTTCTTTTAACTGCAAAACCATGAAAAAATTGAACAATCGAAAAAAACAAACTTTAGTGTATTTGAATATGTGACTCATTAACCAACATTGACTGTTACATTACAGATTAAAGGTTGGTCTACAAGTGTGTGCTGTCAAAGCTCCAGGATTCGGTGACAACAGAAAGAATACTCTGAAAGACATGGCCATTGCTACTGGGGGAGCTGTAAGTATATCAACACAGCTTGCAATGTTCTATTACTTTAATGTAAGTTCATTGTTCTACGCTGGCCAGAACTAAATTCCTGAGTTAACAACCAGTGTATGATCTAACATAACCAGTATCATATATTGATGGAAACTGCAGCACAAATTCCCAACATAGTAAAATTAATGAAATTTCAGTGGTTGCAGCTCATTTCTCAAACAGAATGATGACATGTAATCATGTAATCACTGACCCATACCTCCAAAGTAAAATCTGTCATTGATTTCAGTTGAATAAGCTCAAATTGGTTGCGGTGATGATTAAAGGATATGGTTTCACTTTCTATTCTGAAAGTCAATGATTACACTTTCCTTGGCTGTCTGAGCAATCAATTGATTCTTACTGTGGATGTTCTAAGTTAATTTAAGGCATAGTTGTCCTCAAGTTTATCTCTACATACATATTTTTTGATAGATATTTGGTGATGATGGCGATATGTTCAAACTTGAAGATATCCAAATGCAGGACTTTGGTCAAATTGGGGAAGTGACTATTACTAAGGATGACACGCTCATGATGAGGGTAAGTTTAGCTAACCTATTGTGTGGATACTGTTCATGTTGCAATAATCTATCTCTATATCGAATCTATTGTTATGGTATTAGATAAATGTTCAAAGATAAGTTTTGAGAATCCATTTCTAAAAATTTATTTTCATAAAGGATGTTGTTATGGAGGATATGTGAATACAATAATTAACTGTTACCGATTTTACAATTAAATAAATAAATAATGCTAAAAATTGTTTATTTTTGAGTTGCTCAAAATTGATGATTTTCAATCTAGGGTAAAGGTTCCAAAGAAGATGTTGAGAGAAGGGCAGACCAGATCAGAGATGAAATTGAACTCAGCACCTCAGAATACGAAAAAGAAAAACTTAGTGAAAGAGTAGCTAAATTGTCAAATGGAGTAGCAGTGCTTAAAGTAAGTTTTAATATGAATGCGGTTTGAAAATGTCAAGTGTTGACAAATGATTTTAACTAGAATATGTTGAGGCATTTAAGCATTACAAATGCCACAAAACACAGAGTACATTTGTCTGGAAGCTTCTTTGAAAGATAGTTAAGGCTTATTCGAAGGCATTTCCTTGGAAAATCTTTTAAGTTCTTAATAGTATTGTCTTCGTAGCAATTTCTAAAGAAGGGAATAGATACATGATAATAACTATGGTTTGAACATGACAGATGATCCTTTTCTATTTTAGATCGGTGGGACCAGTGAGGTAGAAGTTAATGAAAAGAAGGATCGTGTAAATGATGCTCTGAATGCTACCAAAGCAGCTGTGGAGGAGGGTATAGTACCTGGAGGTGGCACTGCTCTCATCCGTTCTCTTATCGCCTTAGAATCTGTCAAGGGAGATAATGAAGATCAGCGAGCTGGTACGGGAATATTTTGTTTAAATTTAAATGTGGATAATCTTTTTTGATGTGTCTACTTTTTGTGAGATGTTGGTTGTGTCCTTCATCAAAATTTGTTAAAGTATTTAACCACAGATAAAAAGTTGAGAAGAATTTTGTCTTTAAGAAAGAATTGGAACAAAAGACAATTTCAGGATTTTGTTTGAATTTCTTCAGAAGTGATAATGACTGTTTATTGATATTTTAGGTATTGAGATAATAAAGAAAGCATTAAGATTGCCAGCTGTAACAATTGTAAAGAATACAGGAGTTGATCCCTATGGTATCGTGGAGAAAATTGCTAATGGTGAGGGTGACTTCGGATACGATGCCATGAATGGAGAATTTGTGAACCTGATTGAGAAAGGAATCATCGATCCAACAAAGGTATGTGAATGTATCTTGCAGCTGTTGCTATGAATCAAATAGATATGCTAGTCTTTGACTAATGTATACATTGGTCTTCAGAATATGAACATTACAAACAAAACGAAAACAAAAAAGGAATGAATAGAAAAATAAGAATGGCAAATATGATTTAGCAATGAAAATAATTACTGAAAAGGTCGAATCAAATGTTTCTTTAAGGTTGTCATTGGACAATGACACAGAAAATTATTTTTAAGTGTTGAATTTGTTTACAGGTTGTGCGGACAGCTTTAGTGGATGCTGCTGGAGTTGCCTCCCTTCTGAGTACAGCGGAGTGTGTTGTAACAGAAATTCCCAAACCTGATCCTCCAGCACCCATGGGTGGTGCTGGTGGTATGGGTGGTATGGGAGGCATGGGAGGTATGGGAGGAATGGGATTCTAAAACCATACACCAAAAGAGTTTATGGGACTTCTTACTGCCAGACAGAACGTATTGGTGGGAACCAAATGTGATTTGTTAGGGAGCTAAATGGCCTCGGTTATCGTCTTTATCTCACCTATAAGGAATTGGTGATTAGTGACTGTCGCTGTAATTAGACTTAAGAGACTGATTATGGTACATTTTGATGACAAGAAACCATCGACATCACTTTGTCAGGAACAATTTTGATTTCTTGTTCTACATCGGGAATATTTGTTAGCAGACTTTTATACTGAAACAAATATCAAAATTCAACCTTGCCATTCTTTTTTCTTGGTGAACAAAATTGTTTGAAATTTAAGTAACAAAATTTGTCTTTGAAAGTTTTTGAAGCATTTTTGCATGCTCTGAAGCAAATCCTTCCATTTTATTACTCATCATATGTTCAAGATTTCCTCTGTGTGATGGTAAACATGGTGGATGTCAAGGGACAATTCATTCATTATTTACACAGCATTTATCATGTATTTAGACTTTGCTGAGAAGATGGACCAGTTATTGAAATGAAATCAGGTACAGCTTTAAATTTTAAAGTGATAACTTTATTGGAGTTGAAAAAATTCCTACAGTATCTTTTACTGGAGTAAATAGGTTCAAAACCATCACAGAATTGCGCAAGCTGTATGTTTTAGTAATTATTCTTCAGGTATGAGATGGTCATTCATTTTTCAAGATTTATATCATTTCTCACTGTGTCATAAATTTTTCAGTAAAAATCGTGTGAGTATGATTGAAACCAGGGAAGTAGTGGGTTACTCAGGCTGATGAAAGTCAACTTGTCTACTGACCCTGTTTTCAACAGTAGTTGTTTGTGAGCAATGTTTTGTGGAAGAATTTACTATATATATATGTTTAAAAGATTATGTGATGTCTGCTGTAGCCTCTGGCCTTCAAAATTTAAGGAAATTTTGTGATCAGTAATTAGGAGCCAGCATGAAGTTAAAAACAAGACAGATATATTACATACCGATAAATCCTGGCATTGGGATAGATGTAAAGTTTGTAAATGCATTATTGTTTTAGTACACATATCTAAAATCCTTTTCTGGAAAGATGATGGGTATATACATCAAGTGTGTTCTCAAAGAGTTTGTTTTGAGACATTATGAACTGTCACAGTAAATTAATTTTTCGTTTACTGATTTGAGTATTTTATTTATACAATTGTCATTGCAGATACACATATTCGTTAACATGCTAATTTGCCAGAAAGTTGTATTCAAAAACTTGATAGCACCATTTTAACTTTGTATACAGTATTTCATTTTGTGTTGAAATACAAATAACTCCCGTAGAAGAGGACAAAGTCCTCCCAATTGCATTGGCAGATGTTGCACTGCATCTATCATGATTTTTGCCTAGTTGAACAACTAACATTGTTGGAGTATGTCTGCTGAGACCGGAGACTAGGGAGGTACTGTGATTTATAAATGATATTGTGTCCCCAGGCCAGGTATTCAAGAGCGAATGTAATTATTGATATCACAGGTCAGGGACTTTCATGTATGGTGATTTTCCGTGTAATCAGATCAAGATACATTACTTTCATTAGCTAGAGAATATTGGAGAATGATTTGGTATTTGATTATCATTTGTTAGTACATATAGATTATGTAGGAGATTTATTGTAGATGTCCTATGTGTGAAAGTATGGTGTGATTTTATATGAAAGTAATAAAATATGAAAACAACAAATCTCTTCTTTCTTTCTTTCTTTACATATCACTGTGTAGATTCTCTATTGACATTTTAGCTGTACTGATAATAACCATTATGGCTTATTTAGAAAATGTGTGTCTGTGTGTCATGGCTTATTTAGGGATTTTGTGTCATATCTCATTTAGGGAATATGTGTCTTGCCTTATTTAGGGAGTAAGTGCCATATTTTGGGAATATATGTTGTGGCTAATTTAGGGAATGTGTCCTATGTGTCGTGGCTTATATAGGCAATGTGTATTTGTAGGTCTTGGGATTATTTAGGGATTGTGTGCCATGTCTTACTAAGGGAATGTGCATTGTCTATTTAGGGAATATGTCTTTTATGGTTTATTTAGAGAATGTTGTGGTATTTTGAATGAATGAAACATCATCTTCAGCATATTTTTCAAGGGTTTAATTTTGGCTTGGAAGACAACTTCCTGCATATTTAATAAACCCACTATCATCAGGTGGTGGGTAATTCTAATTGCTCTATGTCTATGGTCCGTCCCTACATGAACAATTTTTGTTATCGCTATTTCTTGGGAAGTACTGGATCTTTCTCAGATTCCATATGTAGGTTCCCCTTGGTCCCTAGTTCTGTCTATTTTTAAAACTGATCAGAAAAATAAAATGGCCAACAGGTGCCCCTCTTGGATTTTGACAGTGCAAGTTTGTAATTGCTATTTCTCAAGAAGTGCTTGATGGATCTCGCAAATTTCCTGTGTAGGTTCTCCTAATGGTCAAAATGTGGCCATCTTAATTTTTGCTATCTCTTGAAAAGTAATTGATGGATTTATGGCCCCAAAGATAGTCCATATTTTGCTTCAAAATGCTACTCACCCTGAATGCTTGAATGGATTTCATTCAAATTTCATCTGAGACATCATTGGGTAGGGGGCAATCAGTTCTAAAATTCAGAAAGTTGATTGAACCCTTAGGGGTTTAGGAATTGGGTCCAAATTGGGAAGTTAGACATTAGTTTGCTATTAAATACTACTCATTCTTTATGCCTGAGTATATTTTAACCAAATTTGGTCTGAAAGATCATTGAGGATGAGGAATCAATTCTTAAATTCAGAAAGTTGATAAGACTCCTGGGGATCTTGTCCCGATTTCATTTCTCAATTTATTTTTTTCTCAATTTTAGACAGATCTTTAAATCTTGACAAAGTTTTTCATCAAATACATAGCACTCTTTTCTCAAGACATTTTAAACAGGCAGGGTTTGAAAGATAATCAAGTACTTCATCAGAGATGACCATTTGTCAGCTGTTTTATTTTGTCTGGATAGTCCCAAGTATGCCAATTCACAACTATGGCCCTGGGGCACCTTCATGTGAAAGTTAAAATGACAGCTAATAATTTTCAAGAAATATTAACAAATTGGTATCTGATATTTTCAAATCCAAGATGGCCTAATAAGTTTAAAGATCATAAAAAAAAGCATAATTAGGGATCAAGGGGAACCCACAAATATTTGAAAATGATTTAACAAATGCCCAAGAAATATCTTTACAATATCTGTTTATGGATGGATGAGGGCGATGTAAAACAAAGAGATCCAAGAGGGATCTTGGTGCCCATCATTGTTTGGTCTTTATATGCTCTTTGAAGAATAGATCTTTTCCCTTCTTTTCTGTTTTTTTCTCTTAATGACAAGACATTTAAACATTCCTTTGCTGAAATAGCCATGATAATCTTTACCTGCCAAATAAAAAATGGCGGTGTGGAAGCCATTTTGTTTTTTCTGATCAGTTTCAAACTCAAACAGGCACAGCTAGGAACATAAAGGAACCTGTTTATGAAAATTGAGAAAAATCTACTGTGTAAGTGTCAAGAAATAGTGAAATCAAACTTTTGAAGGCAAAATCCAAGATGGCCATCTGTCTACCATTTTGTTTCTCTGATCATTCCCAAAATTAGATTGGCACAACTAGGGACAGAGGGAAACCTACTTACAAAATTTAAGAAAGATCCATCCAGTGCTTCTCAACAAATAGCAATAAGAACATTTCAAAGTCAAAATCCAAGATGGCTGTCTGTTGGCCATTTCGTTATTCAGATCAGTCTCAAAATTACATGGGCACAACTAGAGACCAAGGGAAACCTACATATGAAAGAGAGAGATCCATCTCTTTCTTTTCAAGAAAGAGCGATAACAATCTTCATTGAAAAAATCCAAGATGGCTGCCTGTCAGCCATTTAGATTTTTTATCAGTCCCAAAATCAAACGGGCACAATTAGGGACCAAGGGGAACCTACATATGCAATTTGAGAAAGATCCATCGAGTACTTCTCAAGAATGGTGATAACGAAATTTCTGTACCGATGGACGGACGAATGGACAACTGACCACGGAAGCAGAATGATTTGAATAGCCTACCATCTGATGATGCAATGTCCCAAGGCATCAAATCAACTTTCTGAATTTAAGGAATGATTTCCAACCACAATGTTCATGTTTCAGACCAACTTCGGTTGAAATCAACCCTGGCTTTAAGCAGGAGTAATGTTTTAAAGGAAAAGTTTATGGATAGTGCATATCACATGACAATACACAATAGCAGTAGGTCATCTTGACCTAAAAAAACAATACCATCATTCAGAAATCAATAAAATTTTAATATCACACTGAACAATACATCTGTATAATTATCTGTTTTACAGTTCTGTCCATCACGTTGTTTTCTCACCATGTCCTGGTATCTATAGTGTAATCATGGATGATATCAACTTATGAGTTTGGGCTATTTCATGCTACTATTTCAACTGTCACAATATCACTCTGTTGACTTAATAGTTCATGAGAATCCTGAATGATGCATGCTATTGATGGTGATGCTGGTGTTTAAGCATTCTGGTCCAACTCACTGCCACAACAGACTGTAAATAGAAGGTATTCATAAACAAACCATTTCCTGTGGCTTTTGATTATCCTATATATCTCACCCAGAAGGTGGTTGGGATTATATTAATCTAGCTTTTAAATCATAATGACGAAATCTATTATCTTTCTCAAGCAAGTTTTTCAAGTTTTCACTATCCTATACCACCTACAATACAATATTCTTTTTTTTTGTGTAACCTAAATTAATATTAAATAAATATTTACCTCTTTGTGCTTTGAACACAGACTAAGATGCATCTAATTGTACACTTATAAATTTTAACTTGAGCTTATTATAAACAGCCCTCTGTCAGGTCTGTTCAGGCATCCCCTCATCAACCCCTCGAGTCTATGATAAACATACCTCTGCCATGTCAGTTCCGGCATTCCCTCATCAGCACCCCTTTTAAAGCCTGTAATGTATACAATAATATTCACACTCTAGTATTGTTAACATAGCTCTAGAAACATGATACAAAAGACTTTTTCTTATATTTTATTTTTGAAAGATTTTCCACATATGTTTTTAACACACCACAAGTACATTTACATTCTCACCACCACCACCATCATCATCATCATCATCATATCAATACATCATTATCATCCTCCTCATCATCGTAGTATCATCATTATATTGTACATCATTATCAATGTTATCATGACATATATACATTCATGCACATACATTTTTTTAACATGGTGGCACATACACACAAAACACTCAAACCTATATAAACACACTTGCATACAGAGAGAGAGAAAGAAAGGGGGAAGCTGAATTAATATTTCAAATTGCAAAAAACAAAGAAAAAATCTAAAATACAAGTTTTATTGTTAGCATATTATCATATTTAAATTTCATTTAACATGTTGTTTTTGCTGTTTCAAATATAATGACTAGTAATGACTTTGTATAGTTTTAAATGAAGTATCAATGTTTAAAAAAATGTGTAGACATCTTGTTATGTAAATGTTGTATTTAAGTTTAATTATCAAAATTATTTCATTATCAACTTGAAGATCAGTGTTATTGTAGCTATTCATCCCAAACAGAAAGGATTGTTTGTTGATAGAAAATGGAATAGTCAATGCATCTTAAGTGTTTCTAGAGTTAGTGAGAATATTCCAACTTCCAGATATTGCCAAAGAAAATGAGTCATTGATTCCCTTTCAGATTTACATAGGTTGCATAATGGACTGCTAACTAACCTTACTTTAAACAGCCAGAATTTGGTAGTTAGAATGTTTTTAGTAATCATGTATTGCAGCCACTGAAGTCTAGTATTTTTCATTACTTGAAATGTCAGTTTCTAAATAGCTTCCCGGTATTTGTTGTTTGATTCAAATAGTTCCCCCATTTTCTTTTATCAGTTGGCTCTGCCAGAGTTATGTTTAAAACTCCTTTGTACGTTTCTGATTTCTCTAAAACGTCTGAATATAGAATGGTATTATTTGCCGCACCACAGTATTCCCTCATGGTAACCGACCGGAAATTGATTTCTTAACAGAAGACACTAACCCCTGATATTTAAGGAAATTGGTTGTTACATTATGTGTTTGTACAAAATCTTCACAGCATAGAAGTGATTACTACATCTGCAAAAACCTTTGTGCTAATAATTTTCAATTCCCTATTTATGATATCTTGGAACAGCAGTTTCTTTCTTAATTCTATCAACTTCTGTAACATTGGAATTCAAATAAGATAAGGGTTTATTTTGTTGTTTTTTTCATCTGGATAGGATTGAGCTGTAAAAATGTGATTGAATGGAGAAATAAAATGAGATTTAATTAAGCGTATCTTCCCTATTGGAGTTCGATATCTTCTTTTGCATGTGTCAAGATACAAAAGATTGATATGAAGTCGAAACATTTCAAAAGTGTAATTCAACATCAGCTAAGAAGAGCTTGCATTCGATGTATTGCATTTGGCACAGATTGTAGGTCGGATCCTAGAATCATAACTCTCAGAAAGAATGATATACTTTTTTTCTATATTAGTATGGCTGGCCCCCTTTTAGGCTTTTTAACCGAGACCGTAACTAGAAATAGATGTTGGCAAATATGCACTCGAACTCCAACACATCCTCGCATTACAGTTATTCTTAACTGAAATTTGGAACTTTCTTTCACAATGAAGTCAAAAAATGCAGAATCTAGTTAAACTGTAACAGCGACCTTGACTGATAAAATGAATGTGGTAGGGGATTGCATGTACACAGACATTGTTTACAAACAGATAAAACAATACCTAGATAAATCACAGCTGGAATGAAGCCATATTGAAATGTCGCTCTTGCACAAGCTATAACTGTGGATACTCTTTTTTTCATCTCAGGACTCATCTTGAATTCGTTAAAGTCAAATCCCTAAGAGAATGAGGATACACATGTGCCGCAATCGATGATCAGAAAGGAAGTTTAAATAGCGATGTTACTCTAAAACCGTACTTCCGTACCAATATTCCGGAGTGAACTACATAATTTCACGAAAAATAATTACATATACGTTTAAAATAAATCTATTTGAGAGAAACAATCTTGTGAAAATTAATTTTGATATTATGAAACAGTTTCATGCTGGTATAATTATCTATTATTTCTTAATTAGGAAAGCAACATAACATGCAGTAATGGTAGGCACACATAGCCTACACTACCATACATAGCACGAGATCAGATAGCAAATATTGACATGGGTAAGAAAACGGTATGAAAGAACGCTATATTTTCTACTCGCAACTATAGGGGTTTAAAGGACTTGATAAAAACTAGTATACATACCGTTTGATATGGAATCTGTGTAATTTGCAACAAACAGTGTTGTCTAATATGCAACACTCAAATTCAAATTTAAACAGTCTTGTTCTTAATTGATAATATTTTTTTTCACAAAATATTTTCTCCCTTGAATTTTGTTGTCGATTATCTCTTTCCTTTTCTATGTATAGACCATGAGAACTAATGTGGACCTTTGTAATGAGGCAATTCATTCCTTTTATCTTGTTTGAATACAACTACAAAATAACTCCTTCTTCTACAGATATGCTACTATAAAACGATAATTTACCATCTATATTTCCAGTTCAAAAATTTTCATTTACCTTTGTAACAGTATGGGGAAATCTTGATCACAACCTGGAAGCTATTCTGGACGTGACTCTACAGGGTACAGTGGAGAAGAAGTTTGAGGTAATGACGTCCATTGTACACAAATTGAGCGAGGAGCGATTAGGAGGTCAAAGTGACTAAGCTGCACAATATATCCAGCAGCTACAACGACCAACAGAAGAGAACATTAGATTGCGCAACCACGAAAAGAGCTGAGAGACTTGGGGAGGTGATTCAAGGAAGCGCCTGACGAGCAAAAGTTTGGGCAACAGCAGCTCAGATATCACCTTAGAGGGATACTTCGCCGTCTAAGGAATGCAGAAAGACTTAGGAAGTGACTGGAGTAGAGAGCGAAGAAAATAGCGAAATTCTTGAAAGATCCATTCCATTTGACAACGTCCTGTTTGGAGGTGAACGATTAGGCCCTCTTGAAAGTTTAAAGGAGGAAGTGGAGGATCATCTAAGAAGTGTACACTCTGATGACAGGAGAGCAGAACCTCTGGGAGATTGTCCTAGAATCGAGGAGGTGGATGCCCAACTACACCACTGGATACCGACCTCCCTCTTTTGAAGGAAATTCAGGACATTGTCAAGAAGGCAAGAACAGGATCAGCACCAGGTCCAAGTGGTATACCGTACACAGTGAATATGAAATGCCTACGGTTGTTACGGAGATTGTGAAGACTCCACTGTACAGTGTGGAAGAAAGGGATTATACCGCCATGTTGGAAAATAGCGGAGGGAGTCTTTACCACAATGGAGAAAAACCAGTTTAGGACCATCTCTTTGCTGAGCGTTGAGGGAAAGATTTTCTTTTCCACCTTCGCTAGGCGGGTGACATCCTACATGGTGGAGAACAGCTACGTCGACACCTCAGTCCAGAAGGGAAGTTTTCCTGGGCTCTCTGGATGTATAGAGCATACAAGTGCAATTGGTTAACTGATCAGGGAAGCCAAGAAAAGCAGAGATAACCAGACGGTAGTCTGGTTGGATCTTGCCAACGCTTATGGGTCAGCCCGACACAAGTTGATTGAGGTGACCTTAGAGCATTATCATGTCCTAAGACGGTAGGAAACAATAATGGACTTCTTCGGAGGGATGCAGATGAGATTCGCATTTAGGGAATGCCCTACAAAGTGGATAGATCTGGAGAAAGGGATAGTGAGAGGATGCACTATAACACTAATTTTCATGGGAATGAACCTCGCTATAAAGGCTGCGGAGAAGGAAATCAGAGGACCAAGAATAGAGTCTGGTGTCTACCATCCAGCCAACCGAAGGTTCATCGATGACCTTACCGTCACAACCAAAACGCATGTACAAGCCAGATGGGTGCTGACTGCGCTGGAGGAGGTGGGTTCATGGGCAAGGATGCAGTTTAAAATTCGGAAATTTCGTTACTTGATTCAGCCAACAGTTCACACTAAAGGTCAAGGATGGTCAGAACCAAAAGGACACCCTGGTCCACGTACACTAATGGATGGAGAGGAAAGTATAAGGCTTGGATGTACCAGCATGGCATGCTACCGAGACTGACATGGTTGCTGTTGCTGTATGAGAGCCCGACGATGAGAGTGGGGTCTTCAGGGAATGTGGCGAACAGGTATCTAGGGGTCCCGCCAAACTTTACAGATATCGGTCTGTATGCACGCTCTACTGAACTACAATTGCCGCTAACGGGAGTCGACGAGGAGCACAAAGTGTCAAAGTGCAAGCTTGTAATGACAGTGCGGGACTCCAAAGATCAATGATGCAGGGATACAGACAAGGACGGGAGTGGTCTGCAGCAACTGCTATAGGGGAAGCATAGAGTATGCTGGAGCTGAGGATCACAATTGGTAATACATGTGTTGGAAGGCAAGGTGTTGGCTGTTCACACATCCAGCAGTGGGAAAGGACAAACACTCAGGAGCGACGGCAGATGGTTCATACGGAGGTACGGAGAGCAGAAGAGGAGAGACCAAATCAGGAATCTGTTGAACTGAGTAAGCTGAATACATGGGCCACATGGAAACTACCGGAGAGAAAGCTTACATGGGCGGAATGGTGGAGGATGGAACCATTTACTCTAAGATACGTTCATAACATTTTCCCACCGTAGGCCAATCTGCACCAGTGGGGAATGACGGATGACCCGATCTGCAGGCTATGCAACCAGAGAAAGTCAATGTCTCACATTCTGTCTGGATGCAAGAAGGCACTTCAGCAAGGAAGATACCGATGGAGGCATGGCAATATACTGAGAGTACTGTCTGATATCCTGTAGACGGAAAGACGGACATTCTGCTATTCGGTTTGTCAGACAGGGTTAAAGAGGGAAAAGGAAGTATAAACTCATCGCAATAGAGCTAACAGTGCCATGGGAAGAATGTTGCGAGGAGGCCCATGAAAGGAAGAAAACGAAGTATGGCGAGCTAATGGCAAAGTGCAGAGAGAGGGGATGGACTGTATAGATATTCCCAGTGGAGGTGGGCTGCAGAGTATAGAAACATTTGACGAGAACTGGATACCACCTGATGACGAAATCAGAGGCTTCACGGCGGAAAGACACCAGTGACATGCTACACACAAGGGATGTCACCGATAGCAGAACATCATCTGTAGGTGTAACTTTGAAGTATATTGTGTATTACCAGCTCATAAACTGCCACTGGCGTAGGAATATCACAAGTAAGGTAAAATAAATCGAGGTTTCGCCCCTTATAACAAGGCGAACATTGAAAATTATGTATAAATAAAACATTTAACTGCATTCATTTAGCATGACGCGTTTCATGTTGAATTTGCACTTATCCCGTGGGCATTCATTTGCCAAGGAATGCTAAATGAAAGCAGTTCTGAAGAAGTTTGCTGTTATGGGATACAATACACGCCCTGCAACAGGTTGCATTATAATCCCATGTAATTTTATCATTAAAACTATTGTATTTTAACACGCTGATAATACTAATCTTACATTTTCAGGTAAATATTCTGGAAAGGTTTCTGAATTGTTAGAAGTATAAGGATTTTGGAGCTATAATTGATAGGTAATTAATTAATTAATAATAAAACGGGATAAGTCATTTGTTATGCTGCTACAACGGCATTCTGAAAAAAGACAAATTAGGTGTTGGAATTAGAAAAGAAGTTACATGTGTTCTTGGAATTTTTGTCGAGAGAGTGTAAAACTTTGCATTACACTAGGTTGGGATGCAAAGTTGAAACCAATGTAATCTATTTTGAATTTGCGGTTGCCAAAAAATGTTAACAATACAAGGCAGAGCAACTGCCATTAGGATATTGTTATTGTCAAAGTATACTATAAAATGAAATAAAAAGATATATGTATTGGAATTTTTTAATGGAATAATGTTCATCTGATTAATTACGGCACAGTTACTGATAAAAGAAAAGTTTAGGTATCCCTGATATACAGTTAATGCTTGAATCCTTTGACGTTTTGATGAGATGGGTCGATTCAGAATGTAAAGCGGAAGACTACATGCTACCATTTTTCATAACAAAGAAAAAATAATTTAGACTTCAGATCAATATATTAACTTTGATAAACAATCAAAACATCTTAAGATAGGCGAAAACTTTGTGAAATATTTCTTTATTGAGAACCCATTGATTAGAATCAAAAGTAAAATGAAATATATGTTTCGTCTTTATCCATTTTTTTCTGCATTGAGCTGGACATTTAAAAACAAGTATCTTTTGTTTTATATTTCATAAATGTTTTGGTAAGATGTATGTGCTTGACTTATGTGTTTATGTATTTTTGCTTTATTGATATCAATAAAAGATAGGAAAAACAAAATGGGTTATCATTCCGGAGACCCAAGATCGATTCCTGGTCGGGGCACTCGGTGGTATAGTTTTTCTATAACTTGGTTTAGGTTTTAGATTTATCAACGCCTTTTGAGATTTCTTCCTCTGGTTTAGGTTTTAGATTTTTAATGACCTTTTGAGATCTCTTCCTGTGGTCTAGATTTAAGGTTTTTAATGACCTTTTGAGATTTCTTCCTCTGGTCTAGATTTGAGGTTTTTAATGACCTTTTGAGATCTCTTCCTGTGGTCTAGATTTGAGGTTTTTAATGACCTTTTGAGATTTCTTCCTCTGGTCTAGATTTGAGGTTTTTAATGACCTTTTGAGATTTCTTCCTCTGTATCTGCAGTATGTATTAATTTATTGTTAATTCACATTCTCTCCATTGTTAAAAAAAACCTTTGATAGTGTTTAATTTCTTATTCATTATGTTATGGTTGAGTTCGATCATTAAAAGTTTAGCTGTTTTTTTGTCTTCGATCAACAGGTACTCTATACTAAATATTTACTATATAAATATATTTCATATAAATACATTTTCAAATGCTGATATACGAGTTTTAATCACAGCCTACGTTTGTAACCCCCCCGCCCCACCCACTAAAAAAGACATATATATTCTTCATCATTCCTTCCTTCATGGTGAGTGTCCTTTGTTATCTTTTTTCAGACAATGATGTAATTCTGTTATTCAGATACCGGAGAGTATTTTCAGCCATTGTGGTGTATAAATTTGTATTGTTAACACGTATGATGACTCTTCATTTCTAAATGATATGATGTCTTCATTTAAGAAAAACATAGTGGTCTATAGATCTTTTATTTATCTTCAGATATCGCAAGGTACCGTTTGCAATAATTCTTTCTATTATTCTGCTTTACGTTAGTACGTACCACTTCTCTGTACCTCAACACTAACACAATGCGGTTAGAGGGGCAGGGAGATTGTTATTAAATTAGAGTACCCCCGCTTAAAAAAAACACACACACACACAAACCCACCACTGTAATATACTTTCATATGTTGATTTTCCTCTCTTATAGTGTATTCTTGTGAACAAGTTTTTTTTTACGAATAAAGATGATTTAGCAAAAAATGTTGAATAAAAACATTATTGTTCCACACAATTATAAATTTGCAGTTTTTAATTTTGCATTCTGAGTACATACTGTTCATTGTTATAGAAATAGTAAGCATTACATCGCTGATGACACCGATTTGGCAGCAGTTTGGATCCCGTTCGTGATAACGCGAATACAATTCACACTTGGCACATTACTACAAGGATTCACTGTCACAATACCTGTTAATTAGCAAACCGGCTAGACGGTGTGTTAGAACGCTATCAGTGCTGTGGAATAATGTTTTATTACAATATAATAAACAACAAAAAACCACAGAACAAAAAACGTCAAGTTGACGATGTATTCTGAACCGTGCCACTATTTGAATGAATTAAGACGTGAAAAAAAGACTGATTTAAAAGACATCTGAATCACTTTGTAATGAAAACATTTTGAAATGGACACCAAATAAACTAACAGCAAATAGCCTTATATATATCCCAGCCTAACCAATCATCATATCTCCATTCAGGGCAGTGTCTGTTCGGGATTTTGCAGATGCCAAATATCCGTTTTCTCCAATGGGTAATTTCCAAATGTACATATTAGTGTTTGTAAAATTCATTCTTCCTGCTAGAAATAAATCTAGACTATTAGCAACAAGCCAGAGAGACTGTTGCGTGTCCATGGCCAGGGAATCGACCCAGCGGAGGCTAGACTCATTGGAGATAACCGTTACTTCATTACCTGCTTCGGTAAATGGCCACTTATCCACGGCATTCGTAGTCAGTCCGCCGTAATACAGGGCCTTATCAGTTGCCACCATTCCACCAGTGACGTCATTTTTTCGGCCAAGCATTTCAACAATGAACACTGCTGATTCATTCCTGAGTACATAGGTGGGAACTCTGTACAATGAGAAGGCATTCAAAGCGCAGTAGTAGACAAAGCGGAAGTCGAAATTCATGGCTATCCCATTGATGTGGACTTTCGTTGTTAAATTATTGTCGCCAACTACAATCGTGTCCGCGCCTGATTCTATCTCCATTGACGGATGCGTGAAGAAATAAGACGTGTTCCTCTTATGATCGTACACAATTAATTTGGAGTCAGAAGAATCTGTTATATATGCAAACGATGCGACACCGTTAACGTAATCTAGAACAATATCATTCAGAAAATTAGACGTCCATGACGCAACACTATCGGGGAACTCGTGCACGTGAACAAGTCTTTCATTACGTATGTCGTAGATGACCAGCTTCGGTGGACAAAGGTTTTGTGACTTGTTCGTTAGAGTATTCACACGCCCAACATCTATTATCCACATATAGCCAGTATTAGGATCAATTTCCATGCTCTGGACATACTGGAAGGCACCACACTCACCCAAAGTCTGCATTTCCCAATCAGGATATGGTTCCAAGATATTCTCTTCCAGATTCGCCGGGTTGGTAACTACCTTGTTCAATGTTGATGGAACGCCTGGTTTCCATCTGGGCACAGTCACGAAAACGTTTTCATCCAAGACTTTAATTCCAGAAATGATATTATTTTCGACTATGAATCTCTTACTTGTTATGCTGTTTTGTTTCGTGGTTTCATTTGGCCACGAGTAATCCAGTGATTTCCAGCGGTAGATAATCTGTGATTGTCCTGAAGATACGCCTTGAGTGTAAACAGTCGACGACAGCAGGAACAGGAGAATGCTGCAAACAGCCGTCATGGCAGAATATCAGGAAGCGTAATAAGTTACGTCGGCAAAACGATGTGTGTGAGCACACACAAAGAGTGGCATATTATATAGTCAGTATGATCGCGTCCTGTATCACAGGGACTTGGCACGAGTTCCCGACCCACGGACCAGATATATGTGTTATATAGTAATACATATATATTGTCCTTGGGTCGGGAATTCTCGTCAAGTTCCTGTGTCCTGTTCTACAGACATCCGGGTAGAGCATTCATTGATCAGTCGTTTATGGTATATATGCCTTATCAGATACTCGTCGATATTTACATAAGGAACCAACCGGGACAACGCTCCCGGAAACGAACACTCGAAGACAACTATATTTTACACATGGTCCTTGATATAAAATTTGAAAATCAAATACAAGGACATGTATCAATAATAAAACACTTTGGAAAGTGTTCAAAATCTCTCCCGCGAATAGCGGAAACATAAAAACTTTTATAACACGGTATTTTACGTCCCTGGCAAACGCCAGAACACGACTTTAGAGATCCTGAAATTTTCATTGGATGAATTCTGGCCAATCGATTATTCATTAAGGAGAATGGTATGAGCAATTCGTTTAAATAAATCTACGTTCAACCAATTGAATCATGTTTCTTCAGTAGAGTGATGCTGCATATATTCCTTCAAATATAAATCCGTGTGGGAAATTTCAACACAGGTTTGTCCATGCTCTCAGATTAGTATGAGTGTATTGACCCGTGGTTTTAAACTGGAATAAGATATCTACTGACTATAGATTGTCATCTTTCGTCCGTGAGGAACTTGTTTTGCAGCGCGATCTATTTTTATCGTTTCCGATTATTACGATATTCTCGAGACCCAAAGTGTGATAAAAACTCAGAACTCTCAAATATATATGTATTGCAGATAGAAAGAAGAAATTCACATGGCGGTTGTCGTCGATGAAGCAGAGAACGCCTACTCTTCCGGAACAGACGCCCCCGTACAAATCTTTCTTTTGTTCATATTTTGTCCAAGTTTTATTGAATTTGACTTTGGATGATGATTATGCTGACGTGTTGATGTTTTTTTTCGTCTCCCAAAATTAATCTAAATATTCCTTGCTTGTTTACAAAGAGTGGCAGCTTTAAGCCTCGTTTTCACTTTTCAGATGATCATCATCATTGGAGCTACACACAACAGCGTTACTCTCCATTCTGTACATGATGAAACATGTTGACCATTTGAAATTCGTCTTTACAACACTTAAAATAGGAAGCGGTAATTTTATTTTTGAAAATTAATGTAAAAAAAAAATACGACATCAGCATTAGACGAGTGGCCAATTTAGTCCAGTTCAGTTTTGGAATTAGAAATATCACATACAATAAGGATTGGATAGTGATGGTGGATGCCGAAATTCGTCACGTGTTAGCTGGATTACCCCAGTAAGAAATAATTACTTCTGTTGTACTTATATGTACCCATCTTTATTAAAAATAAATATTTGTCATTGAAAAGCACTTGTTTATTTACACAGAAATACACATGTACTGCACATATTTCTCTGATTTCAGTCAGTAGGCTTAGGGACGTCTTTACCAACACCCTGTCACATCGGACATTTCATTGAAGCCCCCGTGATGTCGGTAAACTCGTGTTTACTGTATGTATCTGTAGTAATGTCAGTACATCAAAATATGGATGCTATAAAGCGGACTCTGGGTCTGTTCAGAATCCAATTTCCCCCCGGACGCCATCTCCTCTCCAACTTCATTTTTTTCTAATCGTGGTTGATCATATCACAAGTTTCACTATCAATAACTAGTTACGTACATCGTAATATCAATCATGTTGTCAAACAAGGAATGTTCTTGATTAACAATATATATATGTGGCTTTGACACACAGAATGACCGTATCGTTATCAATCATCTCACTTATGACTCTGATGACATTTAAGACAAAAAATGTTTTCCCCTGCTTGCCTCCTCAGGTTCAATAAGAGGCCTGGCGTTCTCGACGATTACCTGAGGTAAGCAACACTGAATGTAAAGGTTAAAGGGTAAGCAGTTTTTAAGTGTCATGAAAAAATGATATTGGCAATAGTAAGACCGATATAATGTTTTAGGCGCGTGGGGATCAGGCAATGTAAATATGATTATGTACACCATCAAAACAGTCAAATAATTCTTACGCAGTTATTTCCAATGGATAATATTTGCTGTAAAACTGTAGTAGATTCTATTCCCTCCCCAGAGGTAAATTTGAGAACATGGAGTCATAAAATTCACAATTTTGGTAAAAACCCTTCCAACCACGCAGAGCACTTGATTCTTCCATATGTGTTGAAAAGATTTTTGAATTTTTAATCTATTTGACCCTTTTTTGCCCCACCTGGGTTAACCAGGGTAAACATCTGCATACCATCAAGTTGTCATCCTTTCCTTATAATTCTAACCAAGTTTAAAATATTTTCAATGGAGATTAAATAAATTATGCTAAAAAATGTACTTTTCCTATATAAACTATTGTAAACCCCCACCCCATAGGGAAATGCGAGACCTTGGGGCAGTGAAATTTACCATTTTGGTAAAGTCCCTTCCATCCTGATGAGCATTTGATTCTACCATATTTTGATATTGAGGAATGAATTTGTGAAATTCCAGTCAATTTGACTGTTTGGGACCATATAATTCACAAGTTTAGTTCATCTTTGGCTAGGGAAAGTTCCAGCAATTTTTTTTTAAAATTGATTCAGTGGTTTTTGAGAAGAAGTCAAAAATGTTAAAAGTTTATCGACGCACAATGTAAGGCAAAAGGCGATTACAATAGGTTACCATGAGACCTAAAAATAAAACATGTAATCATCCAACTTCACTATTCCAGGTAAAGTTTAAAGTGATTGATCACTCTGATTGGACTACGGTGATATATCAGTCATAGAAATACAACAAAACATTTTTACATTTCAACCATTTTACTGGTCTAAAACACATGATATAGAAATATACAATTTCTAGAATTATTTATGAAAAAAAAAAAAAAAAAAAACCATTATTCTCTGGATACTCACTACTTACAACTCGCTCCATAACGATATTAAACTGTTATACACTATACATAACAATATTACAATCTGAGACTTAACACTTGGCTGTGGCACCGAACCGGCTTATAATTTATCAATACGTCTGTTAAACAATTCCTTTGCAGGTCAAACAGAAGATCAATGTGTAAGATTCCTAGAAAAAATTCAAATTAAACAGAATTTGAGTAAGCTTTAAAACGGTGTGCTGAAATAATATTCTGCAGCAGAGTGTTAAATCTCAAGCCTTAAGTCCAGGTCCCTTGTTCATATTACTTGCTTCCTTAAACTCTTGAAGTTGACCACAAACTGAAAGTAATGAAAGTGTATATGAAATATTGTTATAATCACTAAACTCCTTTAAGGAAACACAAATCTGTAGGACCAATTTCGCTCTTTAGATACATTTTCCATATTAGAAAAATAATTATATGTTTCAAAACTAGGTTTGAATTGTTGGCACATTTCTGTTGGGTGTAGTTTGATCTATACCTCTGTATTATTCGACAGAAGACGACTGCTGCTTCATGACAGATTCGCTCAGGCTTGAAGGCCATGCGATAGCAAACTCTAAAATTGTTAAACCTTTCACAAATATGATTTCCTTACAAAAAATCTCTAAGTACTAACTAAATATGAAAAATAAAGCATTACATCCAAATGATATTAATCAAGGTAAGATGAAGATCGGAGATAACATCCTTTTTTACCAGTTTTGACCTTTCCTAAGCTGTTCTGTTTGTCTTTTTCTCAATAACTTTGCAGAACACCTGCATGGCTTTATGTCTGTAAGGATTTGTGACTAAGAATATATATCTTTCAAATTAAAAATGTTTACATTAGTATGACTTGAACATACACTCAGTTAGAAAACTTAAAAACCCTGGTTAGAACCAAGGCACCAGGACTGTACAATAAAGGATATTAAGACTGAGACAGGAGTAGTGGGTTACAAGACAGGGATATGAGCACTTCTGATTACAGGTACATGTCGATAAAAATCATATTCTATATACCATTAAGTAATTACCTATAGGGGTTTATATATCTTATTGTTTCATCTAAATACAATCAATTAATATTTACCAACCTGTTATAAATCATTTAATACATTGTATATTTTTCAGAATAAATTTACAACTTAGGCACGAAATTTTCATGAAACTGTAAATGGAAGGAACTCAAAATAAATATAAGAATTTCCAATAATCAAATTACAGAAGTTGCTTATAATTTTTTTCATAATACAGGAACATTTATACAATCAACAGAATTATCATAGCTTACTATAAAATCATGTATTTCTGTGAGGCTAAATTTTTGTTGTTTTTTTTCCCCAAAAAATTACTTATATTTTGGAGACACCTGATCTTGTGGATAAATATAGCTCAGTTAAGTAATACTTATTTAAACATTTTCTGGACATATAAATTAATGGATTAAAAGTATCCACTAAATCCATGAAAATAAATCCTCCATTGAATTGAATAATTTTACAGTATTATGGAGAAAAAATTGTTGAAGATGAATAAAATACTTCATAACTTCAAGTACATAGAAACCTACAAAGAAAAACCTTAAAACAACAAAACAAAACAACATCAAAGATTGTTGATTCTAATTAAAGGTGTTAGGACAGAATATAAATATTTATGACATGTTATCAAAAAAGGATGACAACCTGAAGAGTCCTGGTGTCCCTGCAAATTAAAGCTTCATATTGGTCCATAATTCCATACACAACTAATCGCAACACATTCATAATGTGAGCTCTTTTAATCTCAATGCTGCCTGAATTTAATCCTGTATAAATTCCATTGTCTAAATATGCTGCATGGACCATCGTGATGTCTTATCTTTCACTGCAAATACTGATATATCATGGTGAAAAGACGAGTCAAACACAAAATCAAAACTAGGGTGCGAGATTCTTTTACTCAATGAGGTCAAATGAATGAAAATGAGGATCTGAATGGAATTTTGAATTTAACAACCTTTGTTCCTCACAATGAAAGTGAAAGTAGCAATTTCATTAGTGTTGAAACTTAAACACTTACCTCTGATCAATGATTAACCTCTCTTGGTAACATGCACATGATGTATTACATCCTGATTGAATGCTGACTTTTTAATCCATTCTCTAGCTGATATTTTATTAGTTGGACAACTAATATTTGTAAAAACTATAAACATACACATCAGTCACTGAAAGTTAAAATACATTCTCTATATCCATTGATATATAATATGAAGCCCAATTCCAGTACAAATACCCTCTCCCACTGCAAGACAAAACACACTACCACACTGTAAGCAAAAAAGATATAATTCTATCCGATTAACTCTTTAGCTTTGTTTCATGTAGAATTTGATATATGCATAAAAAGACAGACAGAAGTGGATACAGGAAGGAAGTCTGTAAATACTTTTATTGCCATTAATTGGTTGCCAGGTGTATTGCTCTATGAATTGCCACGACTGTTGTAATACCAGGCCCCCTTTAATGTATCATTTTCTCCTTAAATTTTCTTCACTTGATAATGTAATATACCAATTTAAACTTATACTGACATCTCCACCATCTGGAGACCAAACTTCAAAACATTTACAACATGAAGTCCCCTCTTTATAGCATATCAAAACAATGCCCACTTGACACATTGAAATTATTCAGCAAGTCTCCTAGGTTGATCTACTGTAAACTCATATTCAAATTCAAAGATGATAGATGTGCTATGGTTTATAACATCACCATAATATCTGACGGAATAATCTGAGCATAAACCCTTTAAGTTCAGTAAAAAGATTTTCAAACATCAACTGGTCAAATGTAAGCCATTCAAATAAATGTTGGAAATGTGTTATCGTGAACTAAAACTTGAGGTAGTTCAAAAGTGTCGAAAGTCCCTATCTAACTGAAAACAAGATTAAAACACTGAGTGTCATCATATCGTGTATCAAATATTTGACTTTCCATTCAACGTGTTTTAATGAATACTTGGTAAAGATAAGAAATGTATCGGACATTTAGCATCAGCAACAAGTTACCAGGCACCCCCATCTGTACATAGAGCTGTTAGTTCAATATTGTAATAATATAACATTGTACAACAAATTAGAAATAAATAATCGAAATAACAAAGAGGGACAAAAATTAACACTGTATGCAACCCTACTTGTCATAAAATGGTGTACCAATAAAACTATTTTCTTTGGACTTTTCATTCACTGGTGAGATCACCAGCAACCAAATCAGAAAGAATGCTAGATTTTTATAAAAGATACAGAAGAAAAACAAAGAATTTCATATCAGAAACAATCAAAATACAGACATACAGAAAGTAGAGCAACTATACACCTAGAAAACTAGTCATCATAGTTTCAAGAAAACAAACTAAGATACTACGCCCCATATGTTAGATTTTATATCATTAAAAAACATTATTATATAACACAGAGTAAAATCAAATATTCAATAATCCCTGTCGTGTATAGCTGAATATATAATACCTATTACAGTCTGTCCTCACCATTCTGGTCACAAGTGGTGTCGGTAATATCGCTTGAATTATCAATACTGAATAAACTACAGACAGGACTGTAATCCTAAGGTGATCAGTTTTTAGCACTTTGTTCCTGTGCCGTGCTGGTTATATATGATGGTAAGAAGCAAAAATGAAGTTTTTTTCAGCTGTTCTGTAAATACTGATGGCTAAAATTGCAATACACTCTTCGATGAAACTTGATAATATCTCCTTTAATAAATATTACAGATCGCTGATCATAGCCGTCTATTAAGTTCACAATTTATGCCTGTGATTTTAAGGCAATGGCTAACAATGCAGAGTAATGACAAATATAATTTCTCTATGTTTTCAGAGTAATGACAGATACAATTGGTCTAGGTTGTTTTTCAATCCTCAGGAATTCATGACAAATTTCAAATGTGTTCAAGTTTCCCACATCAATTGAAACCCTTCTGTTGCTTCGAAAAAAACCCATACCACATTCAACCCTGACAAAGGCAATATCATACATGTCAGGGACACATTCATTTCATATCCTAATAGACAGACAGCTAATCCTGATTGACAGACAGTTAGTTATCCTGATGTGTTATAAGTTAAACCAGGTTTAACGTCCTCGTCTTGGTTAAGAAGACGACTGTAGATGTTAGCAAAAACAAATATTCTTACTTGGTCATAAAATTCTCACACCTAAAGTTAAATCAAATTTGATTGAAAAAACAAACACAACAGTTTCTCAACAGTTACAAACAGATGATACACACATGTACTGGGAGGTATAATGTATAACTTAAACATAGCTAGCTCTACACAAATATTTTTGATTAAAGAATTATAATGACTTATAAGTAATGAATTTGAAACATCTCAGAAATTCTATAAAACAAACATAACTTAGTACAGTGAATATTTATCCTAGACATCTGTTCAATTGATAACAAGCATATTTAATATCAAACGCGTGCCTGACTCCTGTCCTGTACAAAACTTGTTTGATGTTCAAAATTCCCATCTTAAACTTAACTAATAGTCTATTTATTTTCAATACAATTCTCCATAAGCATTTTATACTTCATGTGTCCACTTGTTGTACAAGAATATTTCATCTGAACAAAACTTAATCCACAACTCATAAAGCTCACTTGATTTTGTTTTTTGTTTTTTTGATGAAAATAGGACAAATTGTTTGTGTATCAAACATGGATAAAAAGTACTAGTATCTGTATATTTTGTAAATAGGCTAATATATTCCTGAGAATGATCTGCTTAATATAAATAGGAAATATCAAAGTCATAAAACTTTTTATACTTGATTTGACAGGCAAGATAGTTCACATCTCTTGCATTCAATCACTATTCATAAATTTTGGTAATACATATGATGTATTACTATCTACAAGTATTACTGGGGAAACAAATTAAAACATTTGAACAAAAATGAGGAAATGTTACTAGTATATTACACAGATACTGATATCATACAAAGTTACCTTGTTAACTGTATATTATGGTTTAAGACTTTCTTAATGTCAGTTATAAAAAGAAAAGTTATAATCTTGAAATTCAGCTGTGAGTGACAAACCAATTAATCTATAAACAAACACTTTCAAAACCTTCCCCATTCTTATACAGCAGAGGAAAACAATATGTCATGACCGCAAAAAATCACTCAAAACTAATTTATAAAAAAAAAAAAAAAATCCACAAATTCAACACTGTTAAAAATTGTGATCTGTACAAAATGACCATTCGCACTTTACAACTATCTGTATGAGCTATCCGGGAACTTAGTCCCACATGTTCGCACGTTACAACTACCTTGACAATTTGTCCGCAAATTTAAATCCTACATATACGCACATTAACAACTATCTGGACAATGTATCCAGAAATCTCTGTCCCACACATGTACATCTGGTCCTCTTTAAATTAAAGCCATTGTTCCCTGCAAATTTTGGAAGAACTCAATTCATTTACTGGCAATATAAACCTATACGTCTCTGGGCAGGAAACATCTTTTCTGCTGACCTACAACTTGGCACCAACCTGTAATCATGCTACCTGATTCTCTGTCATGGTTTCTATCTTTACACTGTCTTACTGTGGTATCAATGATAAAAAATCAACAAATTTCTGTCTAACATTTTCTGACTAAAATATCAGTTATTGACTAACACATGACAATATGACCAGTGTATTGGTATTAAGGATACCTCGACAGTTCTACCACTAATACTGAGAGATGCATTATATCACTGGCAGCAGGTCCATTACTTTGACATTAAGGTCTTGGCAAATTCACACAAATCTTTGTGATCAGAACTAGAGAGTTGTGGAAGTTAGCCAGAGTGTCGACAGAGTAAGGATATTGGCAGGATAACAAATTTGATCAATAAAATTCTGAATCGGAACTTTGGTACGAGCCCGAGTGTTCTTTGACATCCTGGACGCTGCCTCCTGGACTTCCTATTCCAGTGTTGTCTGGGGTCTCCAAAGTACGGGTCGCACCTGTAAAAGTTACCACCTGATAAAAGGCCCTCGTCAAATCTTGGATGTCTCCAATCTTATATTTCTTAAATAACAGAATTTCAAATTGATATATGCATATTGTATTTCAAGTTTTTCCTATACAAGACTTGAGATATAGGAGAATTAGAGACATGACAAGAACTATCAAAGTTTTGACTGTAAACATTACATCATTCTGAAGCAAGTAGAAAAAGGCACTAATGAAATGACAATAAGAAACAGATGTGAATCTACAAACCAATCAATCTGAATACTTATACCCACAAATGATTTTCACTGTTATGTTCCTGGTGATACGGAATTGAACTTTCATTTTAAAGTCTGATTTCCATGGATACATACACAGTATCATCCATAATGTGACCACTGGTTTTTCTGTTCAGAAGAGTATATTAAACTCCCATGTTATCATAGTTAGATCTCCTGGGCCGACACCAAAGTTAAAATCACAAGTGTCTTATTGTAATGAATTATCCTCCATTCCATAATCGGTTATAGCTAGGTATAATCAATTGTTTTAGAAAAAAGAACTACTGATTCATATAAAAATACCAAAGTACAGTCAGAATGGCATTATTATCTTAATCTCTACCAAAATAATACCCTCGGTTACAGAGTGCACTCCCTTTCATAAAACATATAATTTACATGCCCTCTGAAATGATCCTTTGTAAAGGACAATTGAGTTTCAGTGGTTTTCCAGTGGAGGAAATCCTTCTACCATGCCATGTCAATATATGGTTGGGTGGCACGCTGGTAACACACTCGCCCTTTCCTCAAGTTGGCTGGGGTTTGATTCCCAGAGCGGACATGAAAAGGTAAACGGTCATCTGCCTGACCAAGTGAGTTTTCCTGGGTACTCCTCTTTCCTCTCACAATAAGACCCAACATACACTTACATCCAGGCCAACAAGAGTGATTAGTATAAGTTGAAATAACTTGTTTTGCAATTGTTGTAAAATAGATAAAGTTTATATTAACTTTTAAGATGTTAATTACTACTTATATCAAAGAATGGTGAAACCCATCTGTGCAGCATAACTTTTTTTTTTAACAGACCTAAAGTTCAACAAGAGGCCCATTCGCCTTAATGGTTATCTGACATAGAATACAAGATTTCAAATTTTGAACTTGAGAAGTCGAAAATGTGTTTTCAAGATGGTGGCCATAACCAACCCGAAATTACCTAACTTTGGTCAGGATCATGTCACGTTAATTTCAGGTAAGTTTCAGCTCAATGAGACATGTAGAACTTGAGAAGAAGCTGAAAATGTGTATGACGGATGCCGCCGGACAAAAGGCGATCGCAATATGTCATCAGACCCTTCAGTCAGATGACCTAAAAATGTTGTTGGTTTATTATGTTCTTTTGATGTGGTCTGTTTCTATGTAATTAGTTGTGTTCTAAGAGCTGTTTTAATGGATGACCCTTGCCCAACTCACCAAATCCTGAGGGTGTGGTGTCAAGCTTGGAACGCTGTATTGTACTGTTTGGGGTTTGAGGAATCATGTGTGCTAGGATGATAGTTAGACAGTCAGCCACCCTGTTGTTTGGGGCACATGCCAGGGCAGGAGAGTGGCCTGTAAGGAAGACGCAGGATAGACATAGCAATACAGACGTCACTACAGCATGTCAGAGTTTTCTGCCCATACATAACCAAGGAGATACAAGGTTGTAACATAGACAGGACACCAGGATATATTTACAGTAATATCACTATCATCCAACAAAGTTTCCCTCTCTGTACCACTCATGCAGGCTTAGAACTGTGTTCTGTGTTTGTGTATTTAGAGGACAGGACTGTGAATATCAAATAGAAATATTTTATTCACATAAATATGTAATGTCTTCATAGCACAAAGCTACCTTCCATTACAGAATATTTTAAAATACTTGTTTGAAAGTCACCGTAATAAAACAACATAAATAAAAACATCCTGAAGGGCACCTGTCTGTCATAATTGTACATAAATCTTACCAAGTTGTGTAAAACAATTATCCAGTTCTAGTCTAGTGATAAATACAAGATCAAAGAATCAGAAATGAAAGGGGAGATTACTCTGACATGCTGTACATGATACAAAAAAAAATCAAGAGACTGTTAAAAGCATAACAGAAGACATGAAACATGATACTGTTGACACAATATTAATATAGAAAGGCAAAACATTTTCTGTTTTGTAATCATGACTATAAACATAAATCAAAAGTAAGCAGCATTCAACATTCAAAGAGTAAAGAGCAACATTCTCAATTAATTATCTCCATGGACATTTGTAGATGACGTAATTCATAGAAAGAAAGTCCTGCTCATATGATCCAGGTGTTTTCAACAGATCTATGATGGAGGAAGAAAGGATAGATTGAAGTCTGTGAACTTACCGTTTTCATCCAGGCAGAAAACACTTGCACCCTTCTCTATGAGACTGTGCACAACAGGGACAAGGCCGTACTTGGCTGCTATGTGTAGAGGGCTAAAACATAACATCTTAATAGGTTACTAATGATCAGTCATTATCAACAATTAGTAATTCACTCGCTTCAACTGCTGTCAAAAACTTTTGATCACTGACTATCATTTTATAAAGACAGTTCCTATAAAAGTTTCATCCAACGATATTACAAACCAATAAATAAAGTTGAATGATGGTAGGAAAACAGAATGATTTCATTTTTTAAAAATATTCTTCTATTATTACCATAGCTAATTTTACTTAAATGTAACTGTGGTAAAATACTAGCTGCATCATACTGCTTAACAGAGAGATGGATCTCCTATTCGGCTTGATCGGCTAAGCCTAAGAGGTCCTGGGTTTGAATTCTAGCAGAGGGATTGAAATGATGACCTCTGTTTCATAAGGATTTGTCACGGATTATTAAACAAGTCGATCTAATTGTTCTTGACCTATGGACAACAGTGGTCAATGGAATATAATAAACGATACAAATTAATGTTGTAGGTAAATAAAACACTTACGTTTTTAATTCATTATTGGCCATATTTATGGTTGTATAATCTGTTATCTTATCCAGTAGTAGTAAGGATACACTCTCATGACCCTGGAACAAACAAAATCTATTTCACAACCTTTACATTTACATGTTATATATATATATGTATATAAATTATTACATTTACATTAATAGTATATATCATGAATTTCAATTCATTGGTCTATAAATTTTTTTCTTTTAGTAAGCAAATCTCAGGTAATATAAATACTTTTTAAGTGTTTGTATGAAATCCAAACCATTGGATCAGAGAGAATTTTCTTCATGTCACTTCTGAAGACGCATTGCGTTTTTTTAAAAACTGTTTATAGTTCAACAACATAACATAATCTGTAAGTGTAGGAAATTCTATAATTACTGAATGATACCATATAAGGTCATATTACAGGAGTTTATTCACTTACTATAAAATGTTTATGATAATGCTGGAATTATGTAATAAATTCTCAGTGTGTAAATACATGGAGCACTTTATCCAGTAAATATATTAGACGATATGTCTTCTATGAAGAAAATAGTTGTTATAACATAAAAAGGAATGTCCTAAATGTATTATTCTCTTTGAACATAACATTTCTGTATCACTGAAATACTATTTTCATCAGACACATGACAAGTCTAGCAGTAATATGAAGACGCTTTTCATAATCAGATATCCTTGAAACCATATTGATAGTTTTAAATTTTTATCATTTAACTGCACAAGCTGTTTTTCTCATTGGCTTAAATTTTTGCGATTTAAGCAAATTTGAAAATTTCATTGATTTTGCATGCTTTTGATGTGCAGAAATACATTAGTATTACAACAAAACTAGCTGTGTGGTTCCTTCTTGTCCAACAACTTCATTCCTTCATTATTTAGTGAAAATTTTTACAGTTTTTAATAAAACCGTTAAATTTTTAATATCCTCACTTCACTTGGATGGCTCCCAGAAAATATGTGGATGAAGCTTAAAATCCATTAATACAACAAAAAGTTATCTGCATTGTACTAAACATACACTGGACCTATATTTCGTGGTTGAAATACAATCTCAAAAATCACAAAAATTAGATTTATGTAAAAACAATAACTTCACAGTAATTTGCCCACTGATCATTTAAAAGTTAATACACCTCTATCACTTTTGCAACCCTTGTTAAATTTGCCTTCTTGACAAAGAACCAAACTAGAAAAATAACATTTAAAAGTGTCAAACAAGCAATATACTTACATTCATACAAGCAAAGTGTAAAGCTGTGTTTTTGTCTTTGTCACAATAATTTAGATCTGCTCCATTTTCTAACAATAAATCTGAAAAATTTAACGAGGCAAATAAATCAAAATAGAGTTAAAGTGAACATGATAATATACATGTGTCTCTGGAATTTGAGATATCATAAACAAGAAACGTTTACAAATGGTAAGTAATAATAGTTGAAGGAGGAAGACTATCTGTCATCCTGATAGAGAGGGATGAACTTAACACTAGAATGGTAAATTCTGAAATATTCAGAAATATTCCTTGAATTATTCTGGGTTCATTATAAACAAAATAAATAAAAGCTACCAATCACTACATCAATATCAAGAACTACCAGCAAAGTTCCTAACCATCTGAGACATTGATGTAATCATCTGGTTTACTACGGTATGATACAAGTCCCCTTAGGTCCATTCTTGAAAATTCTGATAAATGTTTAACAAGATGTGTCTCGGAGAACACTACCACTAAAATACAGCACACTTATCAACTTCTGTCAGAGATCTTGACCTTGCCTACACCTGTCAGAGATCTTGACCTTGCCTACACCTGTCAGAAATCTTGACCTTACCTACAGCTCCTATATGGCCATTGTAGGCGGCAAGCATGACTGGACACCTGCCCGTACTATCACAGTGGTTAACGTTGGCGCCATGGGTGAGGAGGAGTTGCATAGACTCGCACTGGTCACTGAATGCTGCTGCATGTTGTGGGGTCCTGTAATGACATGTTTAACAGCAACTTCAATCCCATGTAAAGTTGTGGAAAATGTTTCTGCACATGTTTCATAACTTCAACACAGAGAATCAGGTGGGGAATGTACTACACATTATGGAGATTTATGGGACTGAAAACAAGTTTAACTGAAAATTTAAACAGACTACTTTAAACAATTGATTCCAAATTTTCAGTTACACATAATGTATTAGGTACTCAATTAATGGAAATGTAACTGCAGTGCAATGTAGTGCAGCACAAAGCTCACAAATGCTAATCATTGTTTGCAATAAGTGCAATCCCCTTACTTGGATGGATCATATGTTGACATCCTACACCCATTGTAAGGTACTGCAGATAGATACTGTACAAAATCAGTGCAGATGATACAGAACTATAGCCCAAAACTTAGTCCCAACAGATGGTACAGGGCTAAAACCCAAAGCCAAGTCACAACAAATGGTACAGGACTCCAACCCACAACTAAGTCCTGACAGTTGAGGAATAAAGCCCACAACTTACCTGCCCTTTGAATCTTCTAAATTTACTATAGAGTTTCCTAAGGTATCAATTAACAATTCAGTACAAGTATCATTTCCATTTATCCTGTAAACAGAAACAGAAACGGATTTCAGTAAAAATACAAAGAATTTCATACCTGTGATACGATACTACCACTTAGTTAATCATCATGACATTGAACTAGTGTGTGCAGCACAATCGTAAAAAAACAGAACTATTTTAAAGTATTGCTTCTCAAATCATGTACAATATCAAACAGTGTCATCAATTTCTTTTCAAAAGAAGAATACACAGGAATGAAGGAAACTCTGTAGACTTACACAGCACAATGTAAAGGGGAAAATGGATTCCCTGAAATTTTTTTATGAATTTCATCTTCTAACAATACTTCCACACAGCTGTCATGGCCTGAAACACAGGAACAATATATGAGAGAAGATGGCAATACACAATATCTATTACTAGCTAACAGTACACTAGTAAAGTAATTGATGATAGGAGAGATTTACACGATATACTCTGTATTCTGTCACTTGATGCTACTTTAAATTTTTTTCCTCCCTGAACAAAACATTTCAGTCAATAATCTATGACGATAAATGGCGTGTAATAAACTGACAACAATGCTCAACCCATGGAATGTTTTGTTCTGGTGTGAGTGCTATGAAAAGGACAGAATTTAGAGTAGGTCAACATACTTACCATTATAACAAGCCAAGTGGAGAGGAGTAAATGATTTGGCATCTTCTAACTGGTCTACTGGTCCCATCTAAGGGAGACAACTAGTTGTCAGTAACTGGTACATAACATAACATTCTACCAGGTATCATCCTACCAGATAATATTGTGAAGATATAATATCTAACAAACATAAATATATAGATATCTACAATTGCTTTTACTACTTCTGATATTAAAGTTATAAACAGAAATAGCATAAATCCAATATAGGGTAATGTCTATGAATCAGTTTTATGATGTACTGACCTTCAAACACATTTACATTCTTGTATTTGGCCAGTAAATGTTGTACCCATTTCAGCCTTACAGGTTCTCAACCACGCTTACGTAAATAATAGTTTGAAAAACTGGCCTTCAATAATAGTTAAATATTCCTCTCTGTATACTGACCAACATGAGTGACCCAAGCTGCCCCACTTGGCCACATGCGGCAGCAAGATGTAAAGCCGTTCTGCCACACTGGTCTTGTATGGAGATATCAGCTCCGTTGTGGAGTAACGCATCCACACATTCACCATGGCCGTTAGCAGCCTGTAAAACACAAATTTACATCCATCAATCTCTCCATGGTATTAGTAACAAAAATTTTGACAATCACGAAAGAAAAAAATATAAAAACTCTGAAACCGCTATGAAAATATGGCAGATGATCATTTATTTCCATCAGTTCGACAGTTTTTGATATCTATGTCCAATGGCTTTGTTACAAAGTCAGTAAAATCATTAAGAATAAATGTGTACTTACTCCTCTGTGTAGAGCTGTGCGACCCTGATTATCTTTACTATTAACAAAGGCACCATTAGCTATGAGGTATAAAACTGTATCCACATGGCCATTGGCTACAGCCATCATCAGTGGAGTTCTGTGTGAGGAAAACAAGTCAGATACAGGTATATCACATACTGGTACAAGTCAGGTACATTGTAGGTATATCACATACTGGTACAAGTCATCACATACTGGTACAAGTCAGGTACATTGTAGGTATATCACACACTACTGTACATTGTACAAGTCAAGATACAGGTATATCACATACTGGTAGGTATATCACAGTCAGGTACATTGTAGGTATATCACATACTGGTACAAGTCAGGTACATTGTAGGTATATCACATACTGGTACAAGTCAGGTACATTGTAGGTATATCACATACTGGTACAAGTCAAGTACATTGTAGGTATATCACATACTGGTACAAGTCAGGTACATTGTAGGTATATCACATACTGGTACAAGTCAGGTACATTGTAGGTATATCACATACTGTCACATACTGGTACATGTACAAGTCAGATACAGGTATATCACATACTGGTACAAGTCAGGTACATTGTAGGTATATCACATACTGGTACAAGTCAGGTACATTGTAGGTATATCACATACTGGTACAAGTCAGACACATTGTAGGTATATCACATACTGGTACAAGTCAGACACATTGTAGGTATATCACATACTGGTACAAGTCAGACACATTGTAGGTTTATCACATACTGGTACAAGTCAGACACATTGTAGGTATATCACATGTATAAAAGTGAAACATTTACACTTCTGTTACATGTTGATTGTTTTTTTTAATTGATCAAGCAACAAATCAATACACTTCATTGTTGTATTAATGTATTTACACAAATAAAGCTTAAGAAATCCCTTTCATCGCACTGGAATAAGTGACACGACAAGTCAAGTACATGCTTTGATAACATAAAAAAAATTCACTGAATAGACTTAAATGATTTCGTTTCATATTGTTTAAGTGAATTGTTTAAATTCCTACAACCAGCCAGAGTCTTTTAAGCATGACCTCTCTAGGTGAGGTGACTGCATATGTTGATTGTATGAAACACACTTACTCAACACATGTAGTGTGAGACTGTGATATGTTCATGTAAGCCTTCTTGAGACAGTGCAGGACTGAAGCCAATTTTATAGTGCTATCACACTGAATTATACTGCTGAGGGCCACCAGCAAAAAACCTCATCTGTTCACATCATATTGAAAACAGGTGAATCAGTTGTCCTACCCTTGAAATGCTGAGTATCATCCAAACACTTATCTTTTGAGACCCTGGTATATCAAGGCCAAAGGACAGGACCAGAGCCTTCCATAAAGGTAACAAGGCCAAACTAAAGGCCAAAAGTGTCAAGGGAGACACTAGGGAAAGTGTTGTTTAGAAGAAGAGGAAAAATCCAAATTCAGTTTCCTTTTATGATCATGCAACTGGGCAGCAGGAACCATTCCAATGCCCTATATAAAGGGCAAAGTGACCTTGATATTAGTAAAGAGATTACAATCAATTTGATATTGAAGTTGACTATACCTCTCATTTGAGTCTATACAATCTACTATATTGTTGTCTTCGGCCGTTTCCATAAGCAGTCGTAGACATTCTGTGTGGCCATTACATGCTGCAAAGGTAAAAAAAAAAAAATATATATATATTTATATATACAACTACTCCAACAATTAAAATGTACTTTTCATCCTTGATTATTCAATAAAATCTCAACTGTAATGCTGTTTCCTTCATCAGATGTTTTCATTTTACACTATCCCTAATCATTAATTTCACCTTATATATAACACTACCTAATTATACATTTCAGTTTCCACTGCCAGTAAAATTATGAGGGTATAATGAGGTTTTACCTTACAGAATAATATCTGTTCTATCTTATTTTCTTCCTGTTCATTGCTCAAGACATTGTACCTCTTGAATTGATATCCTATAAAATCATGATTCCAGAATTCTATGTCTTTGGCAGAGGATCTAGGAAAACAAAACCTACCTTCAGTGTGGAGGGGTGTGTCTTATGAGAGTTATACATACCTGCGGCATGGAGAGGCGTGCGACGGTTGATGTTGTCCTGGACCAGTATAGTAGCCCCTTGTAATAACAGTGTTTCCACACATTCATGACGACCCTGGTAACAAGCCAGGTCCAGCATTGTACGTCCTGTAAAGCATAAAAGTTGTACAATGAGAATGTCTAATATACATTTTGTTGAGACTTCCTCCCATGCTGTCTGTATGGACTGTGCAAAATTATAGGAATTATTTTTCCTGTTTTTTTTTTAAATTTTTATTTTCTAACTTTTCCCATTTTTTAATCAGACCATAAATTTCAATATCTCTTCAATGTTTACAATAATAATAAGTAGCCTTAATTAGAATAATAATAATGTTTTGTTTTACATCCTATTAACAAACAAGGTCATTTAAGGACCTGTCAGGATTTGGTGGTAGAGGAAAGAGTTCCTGGAGAAAATCACAGACCAGTGGCAAGTACTTGGTGACTGCCCTACATAGGTCTCCAGCCCGGAGAGGAGGAGGGGTTGTGATAAAACCGGTCAGATGCCTTAACCAGCTGACCACAGCGCCCAAAGAGAATGATAACATACTTTTTAATGTTTGTTTGTTAAAAAAAAGAATGTCCTGTCTCTCTGATCCTATACAATACTTATAAACAGCACACAACTAAAGCAATCAGTATGATGTCAATAGACCCATATTTCTGTCAACACACTTCTTTTCCAGTGATCTGGGAAAAGTGCACAAGTAGAACACAACCAATATTCCTACATCTATGTATCTAGCTTCTGCTGTGTTTTATGAGTCTGCTTTAACATAATTTTCCTGATATTTTAGGTCAAACCAACCAATTTCTTTAAATAACCTCTATATGGTCACTCATGTAAAGCAAGTCTGTACACAGAGTATCACTGGATGATAATGATACCACCAAATCTGTTATGATTTCAAGTGAAGGTACGTGTGCGATACTGGTTATAGAACAATTCCCAATGAACTTTGTGTAAAGATTGACTTTTGACATGATAAACATACCATTGTGATCCCGTATATCTAGGTTCATAATACAACCAAGTAAAACATGGAGGGCTTCGTTGTGACCATTGTAAGCCTATAAAGAAAGAAAAATATCAATTAAATTTGCTGATTAATTATTTTTATATATTTGAATCCCATCAGATTGTAATCATAGAGAGAAAAATTACAAGTTTAAATGATGTGAATACTTGTTTTTTTTCTAGCAGTCTTTTTATGAAAAAAAAGGACATAAGCTTATTTTGTTTGGACAAATAAAGCAGACAATCACTGATTGTCCTTTACTTCTAACTGATCAGACCAGACATTACATTTTTGTACACTTATGTTCAAGAGGCCTCAAGGGAAAGCTAGCGCTTTACACGTACCGCTAAATGGGCAGGAGAGTACATGGCTCCACTCCTAAGTAAGTCTGTTGCTGCAGCATCCAGTAACTATAACATAACAAATACATTATAGATTTCAATATCTCTCTTCAGTTTTACAGCAATTTCTATTTCAAAACTATTAAAATACAAAAGTCTTACACATTTTCAGAATGCAAATTTTCTTAGCTTAAGTGTTCATAATTATTCTTCAAGGCTTAGTTTTTAGCAAATAACTATAAACAATATTGAGATCAGACAAAGAATAGACGTTTAAAATGGATACTTAATATTTTTAACTTACAGACATTCATAACAAAGAACATACACATATAGTTTTAAGACTTTATTATTAATTTACAAATCTCATACAAGTCTTTCTTAACATATAAGAAACAAAAGTGTGACCACCACCTCATTATAGCTTAAATTCTGTCAGATACCCTATCCCTCATCTTAGTTTTTCATTAAAATATTTTAACATCTCACCATTTCCAATGCTAGCTTGTGGCCTTTAAGAGCCGCATAATGTACTGTATTGAAACCACTGTTGTCACGGATACCTGGACGGGCGTCATGCTTCAACAACAGCTCAACGACTCTGTAAGAGACAGTCAAGCTGCCCAATCGAACCAAAACAATTTTTTATATAAAAGCTGTTAATTCACCAGTTTCTTTACCATCACCTCATGTGATTTGCAGTATAGAATCAAATAGTGATATGAAATAGGGGACTATGATAGTCGACAATCAGTTTCTACAAAAGAATCAAGATACATTTTTTTCCATATTTCATAATCATATTTAATCAATTTTCTTTTTTTCCCCCAAGCAGATCCAAGTAATTAACAAGAAAGTATCACAAGTGTCAGGATCATTCTGCACATACTTAATTCAAATTTGAGACATATCTGTGATGACAATATCACTCTTTCAGAAACAAACCATCTATTGAAAATTTGACTGATAAACCTGAAGGGCTGTGTTGGAGACACATTAAGACAGAAAACTTATCTGAAGAAGATGACCTACTTTGCATCAGCGTCAGAGGCTGCAGCATAGTGAAGGGGTGTGCAACCTTGCCTGTCTGTGATGTTAACATTACTGCGAGCATCCAGAAGAGCATGAACACAGTGATAGTGACAGTGAGCTGCTGCATAGTGCAGCGCAGTCCTACAATCAAAACATCCAATTATACTGATGTCTTTTAAAAGTATTCATATAGTTTCACAATGTGATAAATGGAAAAATTATGTAACCCCGATAAATACAGGCAGCAATATGTCGCCCTTCCCTTTAGCTTGATCCATTAAGCATCAGACTACTACACCAGAGGTCTCAGATTTAAATCCTAGTGGAAGTATTGAAATTAATAAACAATGACTTTTGTTATATTGGCGTCCATATAGGGACTCAGAAATAATACTTTGCATTGTTCCACAGACATTGCTGTTATCCCTGGAAATAATAGAACAAGTTCTTTCCTGGAGGGGAAATATGTAACCCTGGTAACGAAAAGTCACAATACACTGTTCGGCTAAAGAGAACTTCTCTTTAGTTCAATAAATTGCGTGTCAGACTATTAAACCAGACAAACCTGGTTTGAATCCTACGAGTTACTTTGCTCAACATACCTGCCCTCTGAGTCTAACATTCCAAGTTTACCTCCCATCTTTAGTAAGAGATCAACACACTCAACTCGTCTGCAAAATAAGACAAAAGCAATGTTTTGAAAGCACATCAGTATGATATTATATCACATTGAGACAGTTTTTCTCTGATCTCCATACAATTCACACAACAAATTCTCACGTGATAACATTACCATTATATATATCATACCCAAGACATAATCTTCATTACTCTTCCCTCATTGTGAGATCTACTCACTGATTTTATCATCTTTATCAGCTTTTACTAAATAAATTGTACTATGAATTTTCATACAGGATGCTAAACCCTACCAACCCCCGACCAAGTCATAACATCTACTCACCCACTACATGCTGCCCCATGTAGACAACTTCGACCAAAGTCATCAGTCATATCAATATCCAGATTCTCCATCGCTGACAGTAATTTCTTGAGACAGTCAACATAGCCATTGGCTGCAGCTACATGTACAGGAAGCATCCCACTGGTTCCTCGTCTGTAAACAATACTATATGTTTGAAGCTACTTTCTTTTAGAACATTTTTTGTACCAAATAATGGTATAAGATAAGCTGTGACTTTTGAAAAAAACACCAAGGAATTAAATACTATCAGCTCACAGGAAGGTTCGTTTATAAATTATTCTTGTTGTCCCAGACTGAAGTGTGCCAGGGGTCCCTACTACAGGATGAAATCAGTCCACAATTACGAAAGAAAAATCAAACTTCGTCAAGCTACACCCAGACCCAGATGTAGTAAAAATGGCAAATTCATTCTTTGTGAAGTTTTCTTAATGGAAACACATCACAACATTACTGACGATGAAACAGTAATTTCCCCTTATTCAATATTATTATATCTTTTAAACAGGATCAAGTCTTTTAAAAACCACCAGAAGAAGACTGCTTGAACCTATTACTACTTTAACACAATTCTTAGAAATTATACATCCACCTAGGAAAAAGACTAATGTTGAACGCTGTTAGGATATTACAGGATATAGGGAAGCCTCTTGTTACTATATTTAGGCACAAACTTAGTATTTTTGGATTGCCCTATCAACCTGGAATGCTGATGTTTGGGGTTATTACAATGTTTGAGTAAGGTGAGAATATTGAGAATTGGCCAATCAAAAAATAGATAAATACATAGTCAAGTAATAAGAATTGTTCAGATGTGATATATAACAACCCATAGGCACCCAGAATTTAAGGAAAGATTTCATGATAAAATTATCTTTATGAAACCCAATGTTCAGGCAAAACCGGTTTATATCACAAACAAACCTACAACCCTTTCTCATGATTGAATTGAAAGCCCTACTCAGTCATTTCGAAACATTTTCATCATATTGGTAATGTCAAGATTTTAAAACTTAACCACTAGAAGATTTGAGTGTGATTTTAATGACTACATGGTTACCTTCATCAGACAGTGTGGAGCATACTAGCACTGATGTACAGAGTGCATGAGATGGTAAAGAATCAACAAACATTTTCGGCTGTACTATAATCCTATGTACACTAAAGTCAAAAATAGAGTGATGAGAGTGTAGAGAGATTATAGATAAAACAATACACAAGATGGTAACAATGTACTGTAGTCACTTTGGCTATGCTTTGTTTAATACTTGGTCATAGACGTGCAAGAGTCTGTGGCCCCCATTGTCCCTATTAAGTACTGGCCCACTGCTGCATATCTAGTATTCCACTCTATTCAGCTATTGTTGTGAGTATATATACTATACCTGAGTGGATCTGCTCCATTCTCTAATAAAGTATTAATGTGAAGCTCGTGTCCATACCGTGCCGCAATATGTAAAGGCGTGTTTCCCATCTTATCACAGACATCAATTTCAGCTCCTGAAACACAAAAATATGCCAAGTCTACACACAAGTAGGATTGATATGGATTTGTCTTATTTTCATGACAACCTGAACCTTTATTTTACAATTTTGTCATGAGACATAAAATCCTGATCAAAGCTGCTTATTTACTAGTTCAGCATATCATATAATTCTACCAAATTTGAAACAAATTTAATAAAAAAAAAAATGGAAAATTTTTCTCTAAATTGTTAATTAGATTTTTCCAAACTGATGACAAAATAATATTTCATGTTTGATTTTGAAAACTATTCTTTCATTTTATCAGTCAGCAAAATGATAGAATGTGATGGGCTTGATTGGGTATAAAGACTATACAAACATCTAAAACATAACAGTATACATCTCTGTGGCATTATACATAATGCATTAATTCATTCATAAAGGACTTGTATAATGATGAAGTAAGAGCAAGCTTTCAAGCAGAGATGTAGGGAGAATATCAGATAAAATGATGAGAAAGTCATATTATAAAATTTTACCAGTATTAAGCACAAGAAGATACTTTCATATAATTTACATATGCAGTGTTCAGAATGAAGTATTTTAGAATTTAGACTATTTTTTACTTTCATTATTCTAGAATATAAAAATAAAGACTAAACATTAAAGGAACTTGTCACCAATTCAAGTAATATTAACAAGAAGTCAGAAGTTTGCATGTAGATTTTGGTAACTAAAAGTAAAGAGTTACAAAACAAGAATTTTTTTCACTGCAGACTGCCGTTCAATATACCACATACTGCTACAGTTCAAGTCTACAAATTAGGCCTTTCTCACATGCATACTTGAAAATTTTTTTCCTTTTTTTCTGTCTATACCCAGAAAAAATTTAAGCAAATTGGGATGCAAGGGTAGAAAATGAAACATGCATATTCCATTATTTTATTAAAATCATGAACAAATTATTTGAATGGAATTCTGAAAATAGGCTTGCTTGAAAACCTTAGTAATCATTTCATAAGTTTCTTTTGAATAATGGAATTTCACAAAGTTTATTTGCACTTAATTTACAAATCAAGCAATATTTGAATTATGCAAAATTTTGATACAAGCAAACCAAATGAAACTGATTATCTTAATCTAATTGACATGCTTTTAAGATCATGCAGTATTTTTGTTTCTTAAACCGATTGTGACATGTTCACAACTTTTAAATAAAATCTAGAAATCAGATACTTTTATTTAAAAAAAAATGGCATCTCATTATTAATTGACCCTGGTTTTAATCATTTCTTTAACTGGGGGTAGAAAAACTTCTTACCTGGACAGTCTAATCCTACAATGTTATGATATAATTAGGCGTACATTTTTTGTACTGATGTTGGAAACATATCCTTCAATAGAACGTTTAAAGTATTCACACATATACATCTGTATTAAAAATGTAATAAAAAATCCAACAGACTACTGACCAAATGAACAATTCCACATCACTTTTTATTAACTGTCATATGCTGTTCAATGGCAATGTCTATTATCAACTATAATATTTTTCAGTGTTTTGTCTCTTAAATCATTGCAAAATTATGATTGCAACAAAATAGGTGATTTTAATTTGACCTACTTGAAGTGATAAGTATTTGCATACAAAACAATGAAGCCAAAAAGCGCACAATTCTTTTGTAAGCCAGTCCAGTACTAGACTGCTAAATAATTATAAATGTAAGATATGGAGGAGTCAAAAAAAATTAAATAATAGAAAAATCATAAAAATTGATGAATTAAAAGCCTGACATAAGCATGCCAATCAAACCCATTTACATCAATTCTACAAATCTTGACCAATCAAATTCCTCTTTAAATCATTACAATGAAGAAAAATCAAATAAGTTAGTTGTGGAAACACTTCTGTAAGTATCGCACACAAATGGTTGATGGTTATGTGTGATGAAAGGAATCAAAGAAATCTAAGTCACACCATACAGGAATTTGTTAGTTATAACAACATAATCTGAAAGCTTCATGTGTAGCTATCTGAAGAATGTCATATATAACACTTAATATTGGCTGATTTATTGAAAGAAAAGAGACAAAAAAGAAATAAAAACAAGGAAAATGAATGGCAAGATGACATATTTCAAAATGTTTCATAGAGATAAACAAAAGGCTCGTTTGGAACTGAAGGACTAAGGGAGTCATCTCGAACTTTTTAAAGAATTCTTGGAGTTTATTTCATGGGAACAAACCTTTTAGGCATCAGATGGGTTTCCTTTGGTGAAAATTGAAGGTCTTTCTTGAATATCATAAAGATTTCAATTATCATAATAATCATACAAAACACCCTAAGATCTTATTTACGGTACCTAAAAGACTCATGAGAAGTATTTTAATGACTGACTTAGTATTCAAATGCCTGATTTATTGTATCTGAATGACTGGAGTATTTGAATGGTCATTAACAGTATCTGAAGGGCATCTTAGAGTATTTGAAGAGCTCATAAGAAATATCCTATAAATTCAATTCCCCACACCCCCTCCCCTACAAATTAGCTCTTTAGGAGTATCGTTATGGCTTGTAAGATCCTAACAGATCACATGTAGTTTTACATAGGATTTTTCTGAGAATTCTTAAGTCTCTTTTGGTGTACCCAAAGAGCTATTATGAAATATCTTCTGGGGCTGGAAGCCTCACCATGCTCGATTAGTGTCTGTGCTCGAGTGAATCTACCATGCAAAGCTGTCATATGGAGTGGGGTACGTCCTTCAACACACTGCAAGAAAGATGGAGAGCTGATGTCATGGTAACAGGAACACATGATAGAAGACACACAGACAGACAGCAATACTTGTCATGGTAACAAGTGATTTGTGTTTTCATGTCAGTAACAGACACAAACAATACATGGGTTTTCAGGTGTTAGGTTCAGCAATCCTCCTTATATGTGATGTTTCTGGATACTAAAATGTTAGTTCACTGAAAAAAATCTACAGGTAATGAGTTCTGCAGGCATCCATGTTTGTATTGGGACACAATACATACAAAACAATATAATTATACACTATAAAATGTTTGTTACTATTTATTAATTTTCAAAGCTTCTTTAGGTCCAATATTTTTGTGTTATTATATTGACAGCTTCTTATCCAGTCTTTGAAATCAGCAAGAAGAATACTGCAGCTTGATAGGCCAAGAGACAATATAGTGGAACCTTGTTATCTAGGTCACTTTGTTATAGATGTATATCATACCGTTACTCTACCATGCATTGTGACAACATTATATAAGTCTTTTGATTGACTCAAACAAAAGGAAGCCAACACAGTAAAATAACCACTTGGTCATTTTGATTCACATTTCTACTATTTTGGACAATAAGGCAATGAATTACAAATTTATAAGGAATCATCTGCCACAATATAACCTTCCACCATCAATTCAAGACCTTTTGAAAGGATCTTGAAAACATTTCTATTAAATCTGGTAAAAATAACTGACAACATAACAGACTATTTGATCACAATGTATTGATCCAGATATAGTTCCAAAGCATCGACAAACATGTGAAATATACTTTGGTGGACTTTACAATTATTGTAATTTACCATATATGGCAGGTAGAAATATTGCACAATACAATAAAACAACTGGTCTCTGACAGACAACTAACCAAAACAGGTTAAGAATTTCAACATCATACATTTGTGAGATAATCTGACATATATTGGAAAGCACGAAAAAAATTTCACCAGAAAGTATGCTAATAGGGGTAAGATAACAGATTTCAGGACAATAAAATACCCACTGTGCTGGGCCATGTATATCCATTATGATAGTAAAGTGAAGATACAATGATTAGATGTTCTTAAAGTGAGGGATTATCATGTCAGATTATCCTAGAACTCTCATATACAGTGCCACCAAGAACGAGCAGAAAACAAAAGATTCATGGGATCATCTGACAATAAAGACCTATATATATATATATCACCAGTAGTAGAAAGTCATCAATTTATTTAAACAGTTCTTAATATTTTTATCCCAAAGGTGAAAAAAACTCATTTCCGTTTTCAACATTTGCACAATTTTTTTTTTTAGCTCAATGGCACCAATGGAACTTGAAAAAAAGTTAAATTAAAATGTGTTTTTTTGTTGGAAAATTCTCTAAAACTTTCCCAATTCTGATGAATTTGCTTTCATATAGTAGCATGATTTCCAACAATGAATACTTGGTCGACTTACACCCAGGTGTCAATGCAATGTACTAGTATGTATCTTATTCACAGATACCTCTAGACATTCAATATCTTATATACAGTGTATACTGATGTTTATGTCCAAGTTCAAATATTGCATGTTTAGTAACTCATACATAGTATTAGATTATACACATTTAGGATTAGATGTCTATTTTGCAGACCAAGCAGAATAAACGGTGAGATTATATCAAAACCTGGCTACAAAGGACATGTGAATATCAGAAAAGTATTGTAGTCAGAAATTAAAGGATAAAGAAATATTTGGTATTTAAGTAAAAGTCCATTGTATGCAAGTTTTGTTATAATACAAATCATACAAACAGCAGCAGTTCGACAGTGTTTATGCTTTGTCTTAAAGAAAGGGAACATTAGGGGAATGGGACCAATCCGTGCAGGGCACACATACTGATGGGGTATTTGGTTTCCCTGGTGAGGACCCCTTCTCCAGGTTTGGTTGTTTCAGCAGTGGGAACCTGTATCTTATAAAATATCAAATATGTATTCGAGTCTTAAACTTAAAAAGAAAAAAAAAAAAGCACATAAAATTTCAAAAGAGAGTATCAATAAACATTTTAACTATAAACCTGTATACAAAATTTTGATTATTATAGATTTAATTCTATATAAATCAAACAAAACTCAAAATGCATTGTCCATCACAGGAAGAATCTAGGTTTTGTGAAAGGGTACTACCCATGAATATTATCAATAATGACCAATGAAGACATTGGCTTGAAACAAAACCTTATAAGAAATAACCCAGTCATAAGCCAAAGAAGCAGTAGACTTTTTTTTCAATAAAACAACCCCCAATCACGACTTATTCTTCTGCAATAACAGAACTTCACTGATATTTATCATCTAAATCATTATCATTCTTCTAACAAGTTCAGATATCAATACTTTCATTATGACATTATGTCAAATTTTTCTGTGATTTTCTGCTTAACTAAAATCAAATCAGTTTCATAACATAATTGTTCAGTCTACTCTACAGCTTTCCTGGAGTCCAAAGGGATATAATATGTAACATTCACAAATACTAAAAACCGTTATCCCTTAAAAGCATTTATGTATTTTGACTGTAAGTATCATGATGAAAAATTTGAAATGTTGCATCTTCAGAATAAAATCCCACAGCATTGAAATAGATGGATAACAAAATATATCAATATTATTTCTGATGTATTAAAAAACAAATCGTGATACTTTTCCGCAAAAAAATTGTAGCATTGCCGAAAATGGCATAAAGCCAGTGAAACAATAATGCGACATCACATACCTGGAGCTTTGTACTGGCTCCTTCTGTCACCAGAATTTCCAGACAAATTCCGCCATGAGTTGAGGAGGCTGCATAATGGAGTGGTGTCTACAACATGATGTTAATGGTCTCACATTTTTTTCATAAATCCTAATTTTTAGCACATATTACATAGCATGTCTGCAACAGTAGCATAATATGATGTTGTTCATTTTCCTCCCTTTGACCTTTGTATAAACTGTAATCTCTGAGAATTTAAGTACAGGATGCAACAAGACAAAATGGGCCAGAATTTACTATACAGATATCTATACTCACTTTGTAATTGTATTGGCTTGAAAATGACAAGTGAAACCAAATATTGATGTATAAATCATCATAAAAATGCATCTTTGTGTCATTTTGGTGAATTTATCACCCAGTAAACAGTCTGGGTTATTCTGAGTAGAGCATGTATTGGTGTTAACAGACTCGACATGATGTTATTGATTTGAAGAGTAAGACCTTACCATTCCCCTGTTGTTGACTGCATTAATGGATGCACCATAACTCAACAGCTCACTGACCACCACATCTTGACCATTGAGACAGGCAATGTGTAGCGCTGTATTACCATGGATGTTGACAGCGTCCACTTCCACACCAAGCTCCAACAGAAGCTTAACTACACTGACTTGACCACTGGCTGATGATGCGTGTAGTGGAGTATACATCTAAAAACAGACATAGATATAATACTTATTCTAACACATTTGAATTTTAACATGACATTTGATTGGTTAATGACATTAATTTGCAACAGTGTAACCATATATACAGTCCACCAAATTCTCATTTCCATAACTTATCTGAAGGATTTCTAATGAAATCAATGATACTTACATATCATGAAAATGACATTAAAGAAAATAAATATTGTGACCCCAAAAGTTTGCCTGATTTTAATACTACTGGCATCACAAATCAGGAGTAAAATAGCCTTGAGATTTTGATTATGAACAAAAATGCCTTCAGTTACCAAATCTTTCATAGCTTAAATCTATGTGAATGGGGATAGCCCTACGGAGTTTGGAAATTTCCAGCAGAACATGATTACAGTGATAAATATACACACGAATCCCCAGAGTCCTGTAATCAGCAATTTTTTTTACTCATAGAATTTCTGGAAATATGACCGGTGGAAAATAGCAAGAAGATTTGATTGACACAAAGAATTTTCTCTGATAAAGAAGTTCAGTTTCCTTTCTACTTAACTTTTAAAGTGAATCAAATGGCCAGAAGATGTTGGATAACAGTGGAAACATTGACATCAAGCAGTTTCTCTGACAGCATTTGTTTTCAAATGACTTTAAACGTTAGGTCATGTGGCACACACGAAGACAGGACGACTATACATGTTAACACAAAGAAGTTCCATTGATCAAATTCACAGCAATCAAAATTTGTTTTCTAATGATTTAAATACAATGAAAGGCCATATCATGATAAGAAGTACACTGAAACCAAAAGGTTTTTGGATGAAATAGTTGAGAACGGTTTTCTGATGAGGAAGCTTACAAAGCTGCCTATCTCGTACCTGCTGGTCAGAACTGGTCTTACTTATATCAACTATACACAGAAGGGCGGTGGTAACACACTCGCCTTTCACGTAAGCATCTTGGGTTCGATACTGGGAACGGATGTGAAAAGGAATGGGGATCACCTGCCTAACCACATGGGTTTTCCAAAGGAACTCTGCTTTACTCCCACAGAAAGACCCCTTGCGTACTTCCATCCAGGCTAACAGGAGTGATTAATATAAGCTTAAAGCTTGTTTTGCAATTGTTTTAAACAAATAATATTTTTAAAAAATATTTTTTAACTACATAACACAGCACACCTGTTTGTCTCTACAGTTGAGTTCTGCCCCTTTCTCTACCAGCAAACTGACCACCTCTGTATGGCCCATGTAGGCTGCCCAGTGGACTGCACGACGGTCTTTCTTGTCAAATGCATTGATGGTCGCTCCTTTCTCAAGGAGAAGTTTGGTCATCTTGTCAAGAAAACAAAACATAAAGTTAACATGTATCAGCCTCAAAATTCTGTGTGATTCTTTCTCTCGTCATCAAATTCAACACATTCCAATAACTGTTTAATAAAGAAAACAAAGTTGTATCCACATCCATCAATGTTGGTACACTGAATGCTGCTTTAGCACTGTATACAGAATACTCTCTGTATCAATTTAGCTATGCATTATGTTGTTCTACCAATTTTTCATATTTTCAGGACAAGACTTGTAATTGTCCACCTCTTTTATAACAACATTTATTTCATCCTAGTATGAGGATATCAGGCTAGGCTAATTCTGTACTCTGAGTTTACCTCCTTGTGGCCATTGAAGCAGGCATGATGTAGACTCGTTCTTCCAGCCCGATCAGACACATTCACATTGGTCAGTAGTGGAGCAAGGTACTCGGCACATCTTACAGCATTGTTGGCTGCAGCAATGTGAAGTGGTGTCTGCCAGTTTTTATCTCGGGCATTTACATCCGCTGAGTGACGAAGGAGAGTCTCCACAGTCTCCTGAAAACCACAAGTATAAAGGAATACTTATTAAAATAATCAAACTTCTATGGACAATCAAAAAAAGGAAAACAAAAAACAACAAAATAAATAAATAGATGGTAACAAGGATGCATGACTGTTTACAAGGGCTATTTTGAATGGTATACATTTTTATATACGTTTCTATACTGGAAATGTACATAAGTAGAGTCAAATTTTTGTGCAATGTCATTTTTTGGCACATTAGCACAATGATGAACTTGAGCATCCACAATGGTTATTTCTTATATGAGTAACACTCAGAAACTGCAATCAAAGCAAATATATTTTAGTGCAATGTTTCACCATAAAAATGCTAAAATAAGATTATCATGATAATATGTTTTTTAAAGTACTCTCAACCAACTCTGATCATAATGCGATTTTCTTTTGTTAATTTTAAGATTGAGATAAATTCACAACAGGAACTCTCTATGAATTCATATTCATTAACAAAATAGAAGGAATGAATGACTTTATTTTCTTTTATCTAATAGTCACAAACCTTTTTGTTATGTTGAAAATTCTTACATAAGTTAGCAGCAGAGAAACAACCCTGTGGCTTAGAGTGGGGATTTTGTTTTACAGTACATGTAGTGATGGTTTACTGGGGAAAAACACATGTGATGCTGAAGACAAAAAAGCTATTCTATTACGCCCTGATATATCTTATTTCTGGAATAAACTTTACATTAATATAAAATTACTACTAATGCAAATAATCCAAAACTACAAGCAGGTAGCACTCTTTTATCCTAATAATTTTGTAATACAATGCAGTCTTATTAGGGATTGGCAAATCTTCAGATGTTTTCTGTCAAAATGTAACTCAACAGAGGGCCTCCAGACTGACATCACCAAGGGGAGTAACTCTTAAAAGAATTGTTCTGTTCTTGGACAAAATTCAATTATTTCATCTTCTGTTCTTGTATAAAAATTCAATCACTATTCCTATTTCTTTCACACAAACAAACAGTAGCTAGATAGTAATTTTTTTAAATTTGAAAGAGTAATCTTTGGACAGAATATATAATATTCACTGTTTGAGGATAAAAAACTTAGAAAATGCTTACGCCACTTTGAAGTGCAATGGTAAGAAAACTTCAGAAAGTCTGGAACATAATAAAATGTCTCTCATTCTACCAGAGTTCTAACTTACATCACTTTTTGAGGAGCATGCCCTGTGTAGAGGAGTGAGCCATTTATTGTCCTTTGTATTCACACGAGCACCACTCATAATAAGGAGGTCTGCAATCTCTGCCTCTCCGCAGTAGGCCGCAGCATGGAGCGGACTCCGCTTCTCTGTATCCTGCAGGTGGAAATCAAAGCTTAGACATTTATTTCACCTGTAAAAGATTCTCCCATCCTTACATAGATATTGATCTTGAAATTGTATTATAACAGAAGCTTCAATGGCCTAAATATTTAATTTGTAAATGCTGATATGGTTCATACCAAACATATTAAGTAACCATTATCTTAAATTTACAGGTTGAAGTTAAAAAGGTCATTTGTTCTAAAGACTGACTATAATGTTTAAGCGATTCCTAATTTCATATGCATGTAGTACACAGAAAGCATTATTTTAGTGTTGTTATCAGATGGAAAGGAGTAATGCAATTTGTGTAGAACCCTATAATATTATATAAATTCATATCCTTTTGTTACAAGTATGGAAACTGACCTGGTAATTGACATCTTCCTTTTTGTAAAGAAGGGCTCGAACCTCGTCTGGGTCTCCATGGAAACAGGCTTGTACCATAGGAGACTAAATAAATAAAAAAGACATTATGTAATTATACAGCCAGAAGATTTAATTTGGCAAAGTTGTCTGGAAACAATATCAAAGCAATGAATTGGCACCATTTTCATAAAAAAAATATGTTGATAATAATAATCCATAACTACATAAATTCCAGTCTTAAAAGCCCTATTTACAAAAAAAGTTGATCGGACAAATCTTTAAAATGACACAATTTTTAAATAATCACTTGCATATACAAAATGTGTAACAAAGGCATAAATACAAGTGTTGAAGCAATATATGAAGAAAATATATATCAAATGTGGAAAAAATTGATTTCAGGGATTCTGCATGTCTGGTAACCCTGCATGTTGTCTCATTTCTGGTAATCTGTAAATGCTTTAAACTTACTTTCCTTTTTTAAAAATAAAAAATCAGGAACACTCTGCTGATTCTGTTAGTAGCACATATACGTAAACAGGTGAGTTTTTGTGTGCAGAAACACCAAAATTTATTATAGAAAAAATGTATGCTGAAACATGGTAATGTATCATAGAAAAATGTATGCAGAAATACTGTAATTTATTACAGACAAACCTTAATCAAAGCTTCTATTAATGTAATATTTAATTAAAATCTCAGATATGTGTATTACTTGTCCAAACCAATTATACTTAATAAATGAAAAAAAAAAGAAAATAACAATAATGATAATTAAGACTCTTATCATTCATTAATGTTCATTGTTTTATTCATAGATGTTCCTACAACAGTTATGGAATGGGGATAGACGAAAACTAATTAAATTCATTTCACAAAACCTATTAAACCTATGGATTGTGACAAGGTTTCGGATCTGAACATAGAGGCATAAGGCCTGGGTTCAGTAACTACAAAGCTAAACTAAGCTAAGCTAAACCAAATTATCCTGCCCATCATAAGAAAAGCAATATTTACTAGATGACTCTCCTTTTAGTATTTTCATTAGTGTAAGTTTTATAAAAGTCATTGTCATTTCACAGAATTATTCATCTAACCAATGAACATTGACGAATGAATCTGATCACATATGGACATAATGTAAGGGTGCAATTTAATTTTGCCTATTTTCATGTAATATAGCAATAAAAAATTGTCTTGGTGATGTTGAGATATGCAGTGTTTATGATACTGTATAATGAGTAGATCTTCAATAGACACCAAGTACCATTTCGTATTTGTCCTGGGCACTCATTAGTCACGAGGTCCTATTTAACATGTTTATATATGAGTTCTAAACTTTGGTGATCTCTCATGTGAAATGCTGATAGGTTGCCATGAATGTGTCACGTTCTAAAACGTGTGTAGAATATTTACAGGGATAAACAACATCATTTCCTGGTATAAACACATGCATATTTATGCAAAGGGTGTGCTAATGATTTTCCACGTATAAATGCTATCATTTTACATATGACAGATTTATTCAAGCGAAGAAAGGGCCGTACATATATTTCAGAAAAATGCTTCGAACTTTTTCAAACTCCAGCAGGTCATTATACTGAATGCAAATACCTGTACGGACACCTTTCAACATTGAAGGTACCACTGCCATAGTGACTAAGCAGACTAATTTCTCACCTCATCTTCGAGCTGTTGTAGTACTAAAGTTCCCAACTTCATTTGCACTCTATATTTTCTGCATTAAATTGGCAGACGATGTGCCAGTCAAACTTTTTAAGCTCAACAGGAAACAGGTTCACCCATTGGCCGCCATATTTGTAGCATTCCGCAGTTACGATAGGTCAACTTCGGCATGTGATTATTTTTCTCCTTCCGCTGCAAACAAGGTCGACAACTTCTCACAAAATGTAGGTCAAGTGCATCGAACCGTAAAATCTCTCTTTGTAAACGATTTACATACAGATAAATAGTTGAATGGTGTTTCAAATACATACCACGCAACTGAATGAGTAGAATAAATACAGACGGTGGTAGATCCACATACAGGTGCCAGACACCTTCAGTACACTCCGTAGGTATTAACCTAAGCTTCCTATCGGCGATACCGACAGAACGAACTCAGGCAAGGCTAAAAGTCTTGCTGAGTTTGCTAACTTGGCCTAGCTCAGAGAGACTGTGAGCAGACTACTTTGTCTTTCCCCATCTTCCTCATTTTTTACCAGAGGAAATAGATATTTCTCGCTTAGAATGTCTTGAAACACAGCACTTTCAACACGCCCTACATGGAAGGGGTTGGTAAAGTTTTCAATATGCTTCAATCCAGAAATTAAAAAAAAATCAGAGACGTTTAAAACACAGATCTTGCAGTGTTAATGTTAATGTAAACTTCATGATATTGATTTCCCTACTGTGAATTTACCATTTCTGGATAGCCAAATCCTGCATCCCCAACAAATGGTGTTAAGGACCTGTTCTTATTGTCATGATTTTCGTGCAAGAAATCATCAACTGACGGACAAACTCGTAACACAAGGGTTTCAAAAGAAGCAGGTTGATGGAAATTGCAGGGAAGTTTTATGGTCGCCAAGGTGATATTGATAATTATTCTATTTCTTTGTACGATATAAAGCTGGACGTATTGGAAGCCCGTTGGTTTGCCTGTTGGTTCCGTTGTTGTATACCTTGTTCTCTTTTGAGAACGTAGCATTATATACTTGGATTGACCAAGGTTTACATTGCAGGTATTGGCGCTGAAGCAGATGACGCTTACTCTTACGGAACAGTGGTCTTACTCCCCGTGTACTATCTCAGGAATCTTTCTTTGGTTCATATTTTGCTTTAGTTTTATGAAATTTAAGCTTGGATTATAATTATGTTGACACGTTGGTTATTCCTTGAGGTTTTTTTTGTTATGTCCTAGATGTGTCGTCTGTACAAGAGTAAATATGAATTCAAACGTCACAGATGAAACGAACATAACAGAAGGAATAAAAAAGAAGAATAAAAGGAGGGGAGCTGGAGTTTTGAACACAAAACTAGCACGAGTAATTACGATATACGCGTTCCATTCCGTTCTGAACCTTCTAGAGGTCGTGGTAAGCGAACAATATTACAATGCATGCTGTTAGAAGTATGCTTAGATCTTAGCAACATAGAAAAATGTGTAGTTTCACACGATATTAAGTTCTTTTTTTAACATGAATAAATATATAGATATATAAACAAACCCCTGCAAATGAACAGCACTTTTCAACAAAGTCGTAACATTTCAGTCAGTTTATGAAGTGAACCAGAACGCAACGTAACTGTCTTTTGTCTCCATACTCGATTTGAAACATTAACTGTTCTTAACTGCGGGTTAAAGCATTAATACCACGGAGTCATGGGGTCATGGCGACAGAACATTCCAGCCAATACATCTCTCTGTTTGGGAGACAGACACATTCGGCTGGATGCACAATGACACAGCTCGGTCTAATTAAGATTATCAACATCTACCTGACTGGAAATGAGTACAAACCACATTCCTGTCAGGGTCACCTATACTAGTCATTCTTAACGTTACAATACAATTAGTACAACTAAAGGTCGTTACGTAAAAAGGTAGTCTCCACCACGACCCCCCGCCACGATGGGGAACTATTAAAGTAGTGGGACTGATGAGATACGAAAACAATCTGATACAAAACAAAGTACAATAACTGAAGGGGTATTATAACTTTTAAGTACAATAACTGAAGGGATATTATAACTTTTAAGTACAAAAACTGAAGGGGTATTATAACTTTTAAGTACAATAACTGAAGGGATATTATAACTTTTAAGTACAAAAACTGAAGGGGTATTATAACTTTTAAGTACAATAACTGAAGGGATAGCATAACTTTTAAGTACAATAACTGAAGGGGTAGCATAACTTTTAAGTACAATAACTGAAGGGGTAGCATAACTTTTAAGTACAATAACTGAAGGGATAGCATAACTTTTAAGTACAATAACTGAAGGGGTAGCATAACTTTTAAGTACAATAACTGAAGGGGTAGTATAACTTTTAAGTACAATAACTGAAGGGGTATTATAACTTTTAAGTACAATAACTGAAGGGATAGTATAACTTTTAAGTACAAAAACTGAAGGGGTATTATAACTTTTAAGTACAATAACTGAAGGGATAGCATAACTTTTAAGTACAATAACTGAAGGGGTAGCATAACTTTTAAGTACAATAACTGAAGGGGTAGCATAACTTTTAAGTACAATAACTGAAGGGGTAGCATAACTTTTAAGTACAATAACTGAAGGGATAGTATAACTTTTAAGTACAAAAACTGAAGGGGTATTATAACTTTTAAGTACAATAACTGAAGGGATAGCATAACTTTTAAGTACAATAACTGAAGGGATAGTATAACTTTTAAGTACAATAACTGAAGGGGTAGCATAACTTTTAAGTACAATAACTGAAGGGGTAGCATAACTTTTAAGTACAATAACTGAAGGGGTAGCATAACTTTTAAGTACAATAACTGAAGGGGTAGCATAACTTTTAAGTACAATAACTGAAGGGGTAGTATAACTTTTAAGTACAATAACTGAAGTGGTATTATAACTTCTAAGGACAAGAACTGAAGTGGTATTATAACTTCTAAGGATAAGAACTGAAGTGGTATTATAACTTCTAAGGACAAGAACTGAAGAGATTTCAAAGATATTCGAAACACAGATACCGATGCGTCTGATTATTTCACTAGATTTAAAATATTATCCCTTTGTTGACAAACATTTTCTTGGTTTTGAATGAAGAAGATTTCTAAAACTTAACAATTTTAACGTTTTTTTAATCCATTATGTGTAACCGTGTAAATACTAGCCACAATTCTTCAGCTCGATCAGTTTAGCGACAGACTAGTAAGCCAGAGGTTCCGCGTTCGAATCCTAGGGGAGGCATTTAAATAAGAAATGACTACTGTTACACATATTCTCATGAAAATTTCTGTTATCAGTAGAACCAATATGGAACTGTGTTGTTTTCCTTCGATTGGTTTTAACATAATTTCTCGCTATTAGAGGAGAATGATATCTAGAAATCATAGAAACGTCCGATGTTGTCGGTACTTACAGGATGAACAAGAGCATCACGTAAGGTTTTCATCATTTTCTAGTATAAAGAGATGTAATTTGTATTTGTGGTAAGTAAAGCATGCCCGAAGGAACTACGAAATTTCTCCGTGTTGAAAAACGGAACTGGTTGTTTTATAAGTGATAGTTTACCAGACAATTATAGATAAGTCACACTAATGTCTTTTTTATCTGCATTTATTTAGCTATATACTAGACTCCCCTTTTCAGTGAATGGCAAAAGTATGTTCCTTTGAAACAATTCTATTGATAAATGTCAGAAAATCGGTTTGTCCTCCACAAAACGTCAGACTGTCTACATTTGGTATAGTGTATAGGCAGGATTAAGGGAACTAGTGTATCTAATACGATGTCAGACTGACATTAATCACAAAAACTGAGATTTGTATGTTGATCTTTCTTCAGTTTGGATTTAATCATGATCGTGTTCTAAGCAAACAAGTAAAATTCTATTTAAACACGACAGCAACATATTGATGGTGTTACATTTTTTTTTGTGTTTGTTTTTTTTCCAGCGTGTTTTAGAATTTGCTAAGTACTAAATAGGACAGACTGGAACAAGCGAGCTGCATACATGTAGCAGCGACTGTATTCTAGTTCATTCATAGTGTACTCTTTCCTCCTTTCATCTCATTCTAGTTTTTTATTAAAAAAAATCGTAAGAACTGAAATATACAAATATAAACTTGAATATGTTAAACGCATAAAAAACCCAAACGTTTGTTTTCTAATTAGGAAAACACTGTAGCAGGAAATTGATCGCCATCCTGTAATTAGTCAACCTTAGGCAGCAATGCATTATGTATGATTGCATTTGTCTATAGTTTTCTAGTTATTATCTCCCTTTAAACACTCATTTAGTCCAGCATTTCCACGGTCGACATTTAAACATGTGCTACTTACATAAAAATATTGCTTTACTTACATGAATTCATATAAAGAGTTTTTGAAAATATTGATATTTTATAATATGATATAAATGTCTAAAGTATAATTCCATTCTGTTAACATATGTCTTCTATTAACTTTATACTGATGGAAATTAGGGGGGAAACAATCTCATATTCATGCCACTTAAAGCAACTACAAAATACTTGAGAAGATAGTCTCAAGAAATGCATACAGGAATTAGAGGATAAGGTGTTACTGATGTTGTTGAGCTGGCTAATGAAAAAAGGTACTATAGACAATAAGGTTACATGATATACGACGTAGTACATGTATTGGCAGGTCCAGGGAAAATGGACAGAAGAGTGAGAAAAAGCATACCAGATCCTTGTTTGGCTTAGAAAACAGAACCTATACATAAAAAATATCCTCAAAGTACAGAAAGATAATGTGCTGATAACAGATAAGTTTGAAACTTTAAATGAAGTTCGAGATTTTCATGAGAAATTATATGGTGTTTCTGTAATATGTTTTTGATGTTCAGTTAGCAGATTTTGCGAATGGTTTCATCGTCCCAAAAATAGATGATGTGGAATCAGAAAGTCTGGAAGGTATTATTAGATTAGATGAAGCAGGTGAAACAATTAGTAATATATAAAAAATAATAATAACAAGAGCCCAGTCGCGAACGG